GGTGCAAGCTGTGCTGGCTTCGGACGACCACTCCGTCTCCTTACACTCCACGCACGTGTACGCGTCCTCTGTGGCGTACACAAAAGCAGGCGGTACTTTGTGAGTCGGCATCTTTAGCATTAGCTTGACAAAGGTTGGGCGGCTTGACGTTAAGCTTCCAACATGGGAATCGGGTTTCAAATGAGGCTTTCAAGCTCCCATCTGAGCTCAAAGCCACACCCCCTCTCCAACGTGAACACGCACAAGACAGTTTGATGTTGAAATTTTTGAAATGTGCAATGGAAACCGAGGCTGCCGGGGGGGTGCCTGCGTCACCAAATGTCCCGCTGAGCCTCGATTATCATCATGTAGCTCATGTGTGATGAATAAAAAAATGCTAATGAGTTTTCACGTATCACTATAACCAGTGGCTCATTTATTTATTTTTACATTTTATGATGGTTAGCAATGTTAAAAAAATTCACCCACTAATAGAGCCCTGTAATGTCTTCCAGCCAATTAGGTAGGTTCAATAATTATTTTTATGCCAATTGGAAGACAGCTATTTAGGGAAAAGTATGTTATGCAATGGAATAGCCAACTAAGATGATGTCTGTTATCTTTGGAAAAGCAGGCACGCTGATCATGTAATTGGCCCCAATTAGAAGTGTTCAGATCCCGTGGGAGTATACCGGATTTTCCGCACTATACGGCGCTTCGGAGTATAAGGCGCACCTTCAATGAATCTCCTGTTTTAAAACTGTTTTCATGTATAGGGCGCACCGGATTATAAGGTGCGTAGAATAGAAGCTACAATCGTGACTGAGGTTGCGCTATGCGTCCACTAGATGGAGCTATGCTAAAGGGACGACAATCCAATCCAACACAGCTTTATTTATATCGCGCTTTCACAACCGCTGCAGCTGTAACAAAAGGCTTCGCAGAACATTTAAAATACTACGTCCAAGAAATCAGAATATTGATCCATACGTGAAGCTCGTCGGATTATAAGGCGTAATGTCGGCTTTTGATAACATGGGATGGTTTTCGGAGCGCCTTTTAGGGTACTTTCAAACATCAACTGACCCGTTGCTCTGTCGAGACCGACTTACCGGTGATGTTGATATAGGTTCCATTTGGACATTCCTCACAGGTGAAGCAGCACTTGTGAATTCCGTCTTGCTTCTTTGCAAATCCAACAGGACATTTGTGAGAGCACTGTGACGTTGGCACCTGCGCAGCATGAACACAAACATAAGACAACTTGTCGGATTCCGCGATTCTTGTCTGGAGGCCGGGCCGATTTGAGCCCGTGGCCCTCTCAGCTACCTTCCAGTTGCCATGCCAGCGAATTTTGGTCTCGTCGATGACAAAACTGACTGAGGACTGAAATTCATAGAATCCAATCTCCTCTATATCGCCGCTCTTGTTCCAGAAAACGATGGAATAAGAGCCGAAATTGGGGTCCCCGTTCTCATCAAATTGAATGCGCTGGTTCAGCAGCGTGAAGTTTGACTTCTTCAGCTCCACCAGAACCTAAACGAGGGAACAGCGTGTGCATTTCATTGTAAACAAGAGTTTGCTTATATCACAAATATAATAGCAAAATAAAATTTAAGTTGCAACATTTCCAAAGGATCTTAATACATTGCTGACTCCTAATTCTATCAGAATGCAATTTGATAACCACGAAAGCATCTTACAGTCGCCTGTTTCCTGATATGTGCAGTAAGTTTGTACTAGAATGTTATGATATCAAAGAAGAAACACCCACTTGGAAAAAAAAAAAAACGACATTAGGAAGATTTACCGAGAACTATGAATGTGAACAGTTCAAACGGTTTGACTAAAAAGCCGCTCACCTTGTGGGGGGAAACTGAAATATTCCCCTGACACGTGCGCTCCTCACATCGCAAGACGTTGTGTAAGGCGTGCGCAATGGCGTACACGGCCGAATAAACAGAAAAAGAGTAGGACGGGTCCATCGAGATGATGTCCCGCGTACTCAGAGTCGAGCAGTTGCAAATCTGATTGCAAAACGGAAGCTCCTCCGCATCGGGACAAGGATCTTTGCTTTGGGTAGCGAGGAGGAATTCCGTGAAACCGGGTATCGTCAATACGGGCTGAGACACTCCCAGCACCGTCCCGATTTTTTGGATGCCTTTGATCTTGGGGAGCTTCTCGCTTAGGGACCAGGTGTCGACCGCGAGCCACACCTTGCCCGTGACGCCCAGCCGTGTCGCTGACTCGACGAGCGCCTCGGCTAGCAGTTTGGGCGCAAAAACCACAATGGTTTTGATCCTCTGCGCTTCGACGTGCTGGAACATTTCGGAGTAATTTGAGTTTGGTTGGAGATACATGGCGAAGGCCAGACAAATGTCCGTATCGCGAATGATCTTCCGGAAGAGCGCCAGGCCGTCGTTGCCGTAAGCGTCGTTGCTGTTGAGGAAGGCCACCCACTCCCAGCGGAAGTGCTGCAAGATGGCGACGATCACTTTGACGCTGTCTCTGTTGGAATGTACGGTGCGCAGGAAAGAGGAATATTTCGCTTTTTCCGAGAAGTCCGAGCTGGCTGCTCCGTAGCTGACCTGTTGAAGGAGTAACGGAGGACTTGTCAGTTTCGGTCATCAAAAAATGAGCACACGGCACGGGTGTGACTTAAGCTAGTAATGAACTGCAGTCGTCATACACTTCGTTAAAATGGCCTAGCAAAGATCGCTGTTCTCTGTCCAAGAACTATTCTGTTTTTTTTTTGTTGTTTTTTTTTTTCTATTGATGGTGCAAACGCCGAGCTCCAAGCACTCAAAACAGTTCTGGAAAACAAAATCTTTATTTACAGCCAGTCTCAAAAGTCACTCTCCACTTCCTTTATTCTATTTCAGGTCAGAAATCACTCAGTATCATTTTACTATTCCTTGATGTCAGAAAGTTACCATTTATATTTACTTTAGCAGCGCCATGTCTAGAATCAGCTTCGTTTCTTCCAAATTTTAACAAGTGAATGAACATCCTTTGAGAGTGGTGAGTCCATAATTTTATTTTTTTTTGCCAGGGGTGGTAGCATGAGAGACTTTTTCCTCCCCATTTCTCAGAATTCGCTGAATTTAGTTGAATTAATTAAACTGCATTTTCATTTGCATGAGAGAAGACAACTTAAAAATCACAATTTGTGGAAAAAGAGGGTCTGGTAGAGATTCTGCCAAACTGATATACAGGTTTTGGAAAAATAAGGCTAAAATTGTTTACCCTCCGCTTAAGGTAACTGAGGTAAAAGCTCAGATCAGTACATGCTTTTTGTCATGTGGCTGCCAATCATGTTTTGACTTCTCTCCAAATGTATCTGGAAGGATCAAAGTACGTACATTTGCCTAAGTGCACACTTCCTCATAACAGACACTGTGTGTATATTATTTGAGTAGTTTTAGAGTCACCAGCGGAATGAGATCCATCATGAAGAGCGGCGCCACCGTCAGCGTGTCGGTGCTGGTAAAAGGACCCACCACGCCGACGACGTTGGAGGCCGCCGACAGATGCAGGTGGTCTTCACTCCAGGGGCGGATCAAGCCATTGGCTGAAATCAGGTCAAAAATACCGGGGAAATTCTTCGAAATGGAGCAGTGGTCAAATATCTTGTAGCCCAGGGAAACGTTGGGCAGGAGTCGGCTCGAGTTATTGATCTGCTCCACGGAAAATCTCATCAGCTGGAACCGTCGATAACTTGACAGACTGAACTCTTGACTGCAAGAAAAAGCAGATTAAGACACGTTTGCAGAGAGTAAATCTTGATGTCGCCATTCATGACGTGTCGTATTAAATGATGGCGGAGACCGTTGGTTTCAACTGCCCGCCAAATGTTTGGCGACTTACCTGGAGCAGCGAATGGCTTCCGGCCTGTCGTGGCTGACTGAGCTACTCGCGTGAATGTCAAAGAGTCCGCCGATCAAATAATCTCCGTTCAGGTTGAACTGAGAGTCGCACTGAGACCGTGTGTGCCAAACGTACCCCATCACGCACAGAGAGACAAGAACACGCCTCGTGCTTTTCGCTGCCATCGTTCCAAGCCCGTGTCACCTGTCAACATGGCACTTTTCTAATTTAATAGGTAACGTGACGCTTCTATTGGCAAATCCCCCGCCTCCGTGGACATTTCCATGCACTTTGGAATGCATGATTAGAATTGGCATGAGTGTCTGCAAAGGATGAGGGATTCACAAATCAGGATGCAAACAGAAATCTCCACCGGCTGTGAAAACTCAATTGAGCCCGGGCGAAAACAATGTCGGCCAAAGAAAACTGTTGTTAATCAACTGTGGTCAAAAAGGTAGTTGCCGCCCGCTTGTTTTTTTTTTTTTAACAAAATATCAAACTTGTCTGGAAAACAGCAGTGGCAGCTGAAGTTAGGTGATGTAAAAGGACACAAGGTCACAAGTAAATACATTTATTCACCCCGTCAGCCACGTAACATCCACTTGCAAATGTGATGCGCACCAACACAAATGATTTGCAAGACCGCCCACCCTCCCACCCCCGCATGATAACACTTTACTTCACATTCTCTTATTGTAACCAATGCCACAAAACACAATTCATAGCAAGCTGTTTTACAGATACATTGTAGAACCTACAGAATTGTGCCCCTTATCCAACGTTTCCAAATAATCAGCAGATGGGCGTCCGACACAACGCAGTTTCTTTCAACTGACCAGAGGATAAAGGTCGCATTGCAAAAATTCACCGTTTATGGTTGCAACATCATACAGGGGTCATCTATGCAGCTACTTCTCATGTCTGTCAAAACATCATAGAGAGACGAATCAGTAAAAGGGCAGTGGCAGAATCCGTGCAAAGGCTTAACCGTAACTCAAGGTGATCATTTAAGAGTAAGTAGCATGATGGTTAGGTTTGTGTGATTCATCCATTTGAAATCCGCTCGATTCGATCAAAATATTTAAAAAATACAGCGCAGATATTAAAAAATAAAATAAAATAGAAGCACATGTATCTTTGTACTGTTTCAAGGGACATCTCCTTTTTAATAGCATTTGAAGTGGAAAAAAAATGACACTTAAGTTATTAAAACCAACTTTTGAACAGTTACACAAGAAAACAAGAACATGCAAGTCATGAGAAACAGATTGAATGCATGAAATCGAGAACAAGATTAACCAGTTCTGCTCTTAACAATTTCAGATGAAATTTATTTTAAACACTAGCAAATGAATAGCGATCTTGGTTGAAAGGGGGAGAAAACAAAAATAAATCTCAAATGTCTTATTTCAAGATATATATATGTACAAATCTTTTCAACAACCCTTTGAAAGCCACTTTTTACAGGAAATATTGTGGTGTTCCCTTACGACAGCGTGGATCTCAGTTCAGTAAGGGCAAAAGTTTCCAGGATTTTGGAAAAAAAAAAAAAAAAAAAGATATATAGACAGATTAAAAAAAAAAAGTTGTCAGGGACACCCCCCAGAAAGGAAACAAAAAAAAAAAAGTGATCGTCACCCACTTCATCCATTTGACATAATAAAAGCCCTCAATTTCAGTTTTCTTATGTTTCCTCTGCAAAAGAAAGAAACAACAGTTTGCTTGGAATGACTGTCACGTTTTATGAAGAACAAACAAGTTAGAAGTGAGTACAAGAGCTAATCTAAACTCATCTAAATGAATGGCACGCAGGCTTTTGAAACAGCAATCCTCCCAAGAGTGAATTTTGCTTCTCCCAAAGACTCCCCAAGCGCTCAGAAAGCCTGACAGAGCCCCACCGAGAGTTGCCCTCGCCACGTTCCAAATCGGCCATCAAATTGAGTCGCTGATTATTCAACGAATCCAAAATAGAGTCAAACAGCCAACGGAGCTCGTGACAAACTGCTTTGGGGTGCCCCTTGTGAAGGCGAGGTGTACTGTCTTTCGTCGGTGTTCAGATCTGAGGCAAAGCGAATTCGAGGACTTGCTCTTTCAAGCAAAATGCGCCGTCCCGGAACAAATTTGAGCGATGAGTGGCATGAGTGGGGAATTAAATGTGTTGGTGTCACTTATGTGTGCGTCCAATGACGGAGCTCGGGTGGGTGAGCGTCCAACACGTCGATCAAGAAATCAATGGGTATTAAGACCTGAAAATAGTCAATTCAAGTCTTCCGTCAATCAACTGAAATAATTTGATTCGAATGAAATGCCACCGATCCACATTTAGCTCTGAGGACGGCCGTCTGATTTATTTCAGAGCAGGAGGGCATTATTTGAGCGCAGATGGAAAAATTGTGCCGTCTTTCAAATTGATCACGTACCAATAATTGGCACGACTCACTTTCATCGCGTGGAACAAACAAACTTGCTGACACAAAATATTCAGCAAAAATCATGGAAGGCTAACATGGGGGTGGGGGGTGTGTGCAAACTTTATGAAGCTGGAGCAAATGTTTTTCACTGTGGTTCTTGGTGACCACTTCCATAACGAGTAGGCTATAAAAGGCAAAAGGCAGCACCGAGGCTCACTAACTACTAACAAATGTTGGCCAAATCTAAATTTAGGACGAGAATCATCTCGAGAACCCCCCGGACGCCATCCATCCTAGCGGACAAAGGCAACACTTGCAGACTATTTTTGATCTGTGTTGTTAGGAGGCTCATACAGCCACTGTCAAACGCGGATCAAAATTGTGTCTGTTTTTTTTTTTTTCTTGTCATGTAACCGTCCCCTTACAAAAAAAAAAGATCTGAGCCCCTATGTCTGTCTCCGTGGACTGTCAATGGCAATTTTCATACAAGGACAAAGGGAAGGGGGAGTTTTAACTAGCAAAAGGTTTCCCTGTGTCGTCCTTGCCTTTGTATGTCCTCTTCCCATGCGTGAATGGTAGATATCTATACTTGATCATATGCTGGAGAAGAAGGGGGGGGGGGGGGAGAAAGCCAGTCAGTAAACAGCATGTAAAGGACTCATACATAGTAGCCTAATACTATATATATTATTTTGGAAAAGTATATACTGTTTCGTAGAACATTGCAAAAATATTTGAAACAAACTCAAGAAGCGAACCACATTAAATATGTGCTTCATGTTGTTTTATTTAACCCTTTCATGCACCAATAATGATTACCTGCAAGTAACCCGCTGTCCATGAAAGGGTTAAACAATTCATTACTTCATATCATAAGAAATTAAAAGTATAATACTCAAATTGCAGTGTTTGCGGTGTGCGCAATGTTTGTGGCGCAATAGACAACAATGTAAAAGGTTTTTGAGGTTTAGGAGTAAGACTGAGGAACATAACATCATTCAGTGTACCAAATGAATAGTATATGTTGACACAAAAGGTTTACGCCTGAGCAGGGAGGCACTGATAGCACTTTTTTTTCGGGCTAAAGGGAGTACTTACATTTCAATGCTTGCCAGTAACGAGTGGCAAGAATGGATGATGCCATTAGTTCTTACCAATGTGCGTCGCAAAAACTTTTGCGGGTTGATTTAAAAGGGGAAGTCACATTTAAAATTGTGTTCACAATTTTATGTTGTGTGGGTCCCCACTAGTCTAAACACGGTATTTGGTTCATACTCGTGGAATATCTATTGATCGGAACCCCCCGTTTTCATCTATCTCAGGGGGTGGCCATTTTGCCTGGTGCTGCTACTTGCTGCCAACTGATAATGACATCACAATGCCGAAGGCCCAGCAGCGACCGTCAGGGCGAACCTGTTTTCGGAGTTTGGTCGTGTGACATTTGCAAGCGGAGCCTTTTGCCGCCGCGATATCATTTGCTGTTGCGGGCAAGTGGCTGAAAAATGAGCGGATTTTGCTGCTGAATAGCGTGTTTAGACTAGCAGGGGGCGTATGGAACATATTGTAAAGAACATTTTTGACTGGACATCCCCTTTGAATACATTTTTAATGGAACAATTGACAATATCTATATTGTGGTAGATATCATTATTGTGCTATAAAATGGCCTTTATCAGATGTGTCAAACTTGTTTTAGCTCAGGGGACTCATGAAGGAAAATCCATTCCCAAGTGGGCCGGTAAAATCATGTTATGTCACTTTCAAAATTGGCGTCAACATTACGCGAATTGTCACTATTTGCGGGCTGTCGCTATTTCCCGTGAATAGCGGCGGTCATCTATAAATAAGTGGTTATAGATATCAAAATATCTAAAGAATATTTTGTCTCCATTTTTTTTTATAAAATATATATTGTGTATGGAACACACAGTAAAATAAAACAAAAGAAAATAAGGCAACAAATAAATGCGATGAAACATGAATATCCAGTGGCATGAAAATGTCCCATTCAAAATTTGTGGTTGTACAATTTCTTTTCATGAACATGGAAAGCGGCAACACTTTGCCAGTAGGAGTTTTAACGCTGACGTAGACGTGGCGGACATGTCAGAGCTACCTAATTTGCATATCTATGGTACACAGAACGTATTGTGTGGTGCAATGCATTTAATTAACAAAGTTATAAGGATGTTAATTCTAGTCACATGCGTTCGTGTTAGGAGTAGTTGAATGTGTTATCTTGAACACTTTTTTATGACTTAAGGTTGCACGTACAATAATGACATCCAGTCTACTTCCTTTTTACAATTTGCTCGGCTCATCTGACTTTGCTTGTAAACATCAAATGATTTATCACTTTAAATAAAAGGCACAAGCTAAATAATTCCGGCGTAATACTGTATCGTCAAAACGGAACAGGTTTCGTCACTTTCAAGCACTGTGCGCGTGTTCGTATCTTTACCTTGATCTGCCTCTTCATGGTGATGCAAAAGAGCATGATGAAGTACAATACAAGTATGGGCCAGAACACCGGCACGTTGAAGGCTTCGAAAAATGTGCAAATCATGGCAATGACGATGCCTTTTGTTGCTGAATGCCTGTCAACAAAAGAGTTCATTTAGAAACAATGTACCGCATTTTTTCGTACCACTGGGCACAGTTATTCGGCGCAATATCGATGAACGGGTCCATTTGAAAAAAAAAAATGTTCATACATAAGGCGCTCCAGGTAAATAGTTACATTATTTTTGTCAAGCATTGTGTGTTAAATCGTTCATTCGCATTGTATAGTATGTCCATTTGGTAGATTTAGGTGCGGGGAAGGGGTGGGGGGGGGGGGGGCTTTGAGCATCGGAGGGCATCCTCAGAGAGACGGAAATGTTTTGGTTTTTTTAACATTGCTAGTTAATCTGTTGATTGGAGGAATGCTATCTTGGCTGACAGTTTAACAGCTGTAAAGTAGCCAAGGCACTCATCATCATCCAACCTTTTTTTGGGTTGGTCCACCGCAGCTGTTGGAAGCTGGCTGCGGCGTTTACCTCGCGCAGGTCCGGTCCCACATTGTAACAAATTATCAATTTGCCGCCAGAAAAGCTCAGCTTATCTCACCAGCGACCGCAGCATTAGGCTAGTCGGACTACACCTTTCTCATGATTCTTAAGACATAGAAGCAGGAATTAGTTCTATCCGGCATGCCGAAAACAGACGGCTGCTTGCGATTAGATGTGGAGGAGAATGACAACATGAACATCATAGAAAGGAATTTGAATTTAAAACAAATTGAAAAGCCGATATCCATCCATAAATAAGGCGCACTGTCGATTTTTTGGGAAGGTGAAGGGATTTTAAGTGTGCTTGATGGTCTGAAAAATGTGGTTAATGGTCAGGTAAATTCTAACTCATGTACTGAATCTTGGAATAATACGAATAATTTTCATCACATGCATAGGGTGTAGGCATTGTGGACCAAAATGTCGAATGACCTCACAATTTTGTTGTTAGAACTTTTGCAAATGAGCAAAACTGTGCTAATACGTTTCTTTTTTTTTTTTTTTGAAGTGTTGGGACATTTTACAGATGGGGGAAAAAAAGATGAGCCTTTCTAGCAGTTGTAATGCTGGCTGATGCAAAACACGACCCCTGTGCGGCTACACGTGGTGACCTGCTGTTTGCATACAACATGGCCATGCAGGGAAGGTTTGAATTCAAATGTGCATTCGTGGAGCTCTACAAAGACCGCAGACCTAAGATTAATACGCAGAAAGATAACACATAACATCTATACATACATAACGTAGAGTTTCAAATTTCAAAGTGAAGTTGAATCTGTTCGGTTGATCTGTGAATGTAGACTTGACTCCCAGCTAGACTCACCAGAATTTGAACTCGGGCAACCGCCTGATGAAAGGACGGAACTCTTCATTCTGCTTGGTAGGAAGGGCGGGGCCCTCGTCTATAGAGGAGGCAGGGTGATGAGGGCTTAACCACAGACATTAGCTTCAAGATATAAAACATATCAATACCAATTTACACGACAAGAGTGCAAACTCTCGTCTGGTAATAAGAAATCATCTAAAAACATAAGAGCTTTGCATATTAATTAATAAGGGTGTTCTACAAAAAGAGAAAAAGAACGATCCTACTCATCACAAAAGGAGAAAAAAAAAAAGAGATCAAAATGGATTGAACTTGCCTTCGTCAAGCAGTGAAGGATCCACTTTTGGTGATAGAAAAGCAATGAACAGGTTCAGATGGTAGATTCCCAAGGCGTAAGTAACTATATACCAACCCTGCAAAGCAACGCAAGGTCAAAGTAACCCTTTCACGCACCCAGTAACCTGATCCCAAAATCAACTGTCCACTGCAGTAACCGCTGTGCTCGAAAGGGTTACGACCTCTTTTTGCAAGTGGTTAACAACCATTACGCAGATGTCATGAAAAAGGACATTTAATCATCAGCCAAGTGGAATATTGACACTGCGAGACTCATGGTTGGTCTGAGTCGTCTGAAGTGCAAGCTACAAGTCCAGTTTCGGTGAAAAGGAAAGTCAAATCTGCCATCTTGTTAACTTGTCAAGATAAACTGCCGCAGCAGTTTTGTTTTGAGCTGGAGAGTGTTTCTGAAATGAAAGTGAAAGGACAGCAGTAAAATAGGGGTGAAGAGGAGCTTACATTGACCTTTGACTTGAAACAGCCAATTTGGCGAGCAGCTCCTTGTTAATGGTTACTCGGGCGGGTCTTAAGCTTTGTTGTCAAGGTGAAGTTGCGTTTGAGGTACAGTATTCGTTTGGATATGCACCGAGTGCGGGTTTAGGTGTGCAGTCATGAGAATTTTTTTTTTTTGTGTGTGAATTTAGGGAATTCATCAACTTAAAAGCTGCCAATCACCGGATAGAAATCGAAATACAACTCGAGTAGCTTAGTCTGCATACCTGTGGATCTGATACAGCCTGTTAACAAGCAGAGTCTTTGTCCAGTACATGCCTACCCTTTTAATACAATCACGTTAGGAGAACACACCGGAAAGAATACAGGATAGAGCTGGATTATGTGAAGAGTCTCAAATCTCAAGATAGGAAATCATTAAAGAAAATGAGTCACGCGGCAGCACAAACAGGTTTTTACATTGACAATTTTAGAGCACGTGGAAATGCACCGTGCATGACTTCATCTTACTTTGTTGATTTAAGCAAGTCACATCAATTATACTTTGGGCTTTTGTAAACAAATGCTGGAAAGGCAACATTACCTGTAGTATGTACACTCTGATCATGTACAGCGCAGTAAGTAGAAGTGTGGAGGCCCATCGCACTGCAGAGTATGGCGTTGATTTGTCTAGCCATGACTGATAGATCTGTTTCCCATGACACAAAACAAGAAGTGGACGTTACCACCAGAGATGATATCATCTTTGAGACATCAACTTTAGTTACACACGATACAGCAGGGCCTCTGAAAAAGATATCGCGCCAGTTTACATTGTATCAATTCTGAACATTTCCCAGAACACGAATCCGAATAGTCCTCAAGTTAAAATGAATAATTTATACTTTGGTCACAACACTTGTCTTGTGTCAATTCCCTGACTATGTGTCAAACATAAACTAAAGAAGCACATACATTGTAGATGTGTTTGGAAAGGCTTTATGAATTGAAGTGTGAGCCCCATAAATGCAAAAATATTTAACAATGGGAAAATTGCTGCTGTGAATTGGGAATTTCTCCATTGCGAGACTAATAAAGGTTTTCTTATCTTATTGCAAGAGTGCAATGTGCAATTGTCTTTGCAAACAAACTACACTTTGAAGTGTCCCATTGATTAAGTTTCACCACTAACACACATCAACTGAAAGATGCTCACCTGTCCAACCCGTGTGAAAAATGTAGCAACTACAGATGGTTTTCCATGGATTGACTCCCCAGCGCTGTCCCCTTCTGACATTCTGCATGTAAAGGGGGGGGGGGGATTTTTATCATTAAAAAAGTGTAGATTCGTCTCGGACAGTGTTTTGAACATCCAGCCAGTACACCACAAAACAGTGGACCTATTTTCCAAAAAGTACATCAATTTTGATAAAAACAGGACATGGTCCGGTCTACTTCAATAACAATGTTTCGATCAAACAAACGGAGGTGTTCAGCGTTTGAATAAGCTAATGATCCCAGTAGTTTGTGGGCGGACGGGTACAGACACTCGGACAAAATAGGAATCATACCAGGACAACGAGGAGCTGAGGTGACGGAAACGTTGAGCCAGTTAATAGAATACTGAACAAGCGGATAATTACTCTCCATAAGAATCCATTCGAGTTTCATAGAACTTGCATTTGTATACGATACTTTTCATAGCCCACACAGACATAAAAAATACGAAGTAAAGAGAGAACGTCAAAAAAATTACAGGACGCGGTCATGCCGAATTGAACGCACCACCCAAATCATTATCCGGGAATTGCTTTTGGTACACTGTAATATTAGCTCATGAAACGTCGACAGTAAGAAGCTGTCAAATGCTAACGTTTACGTGGAGGGCATATGCCTGGAGAAAATCGATCAAGAGCCATTTTATCCAACCAAAGCAAGCGGAAAGCAAAACAGTGACATCAACAAGTTTATGTATGAAAAATAACGTGTCGTGTTGCTCACATTAGCTTGGAAAAGGAACCAGCTAACTAGCCATAAATGTATATTGACCTTCGGCCTAAATTGACGATTGACGGGTGATGTAGTTTTTTAAAAGAGTTTCTTACTCGGTAGTTGGCGCCTTAGACACAATTGAACTACATTTCCCACGTACTACCCAATAAGAACAAAACGGCGGTAATGTAGTTCCCGACATACACTACTACGGTTTCAATATATGCGCAGAATGAAAAGGTCGAACTACAAGTCCCAGAAAAAAAGATACAATGTGACAACTCACTTCCGGAAAAATGGAACGCTTCTGCGGTGCTAACTGGAAAGCTAGCTATAACCGCTACATTATTTAGTATTTACAGGACAGAGGTACATGTTTTTTTGAATGAAAGTGATTCATAATATATGATTCAATACAACATCCTGTAAATAATCCGTCATTGTTTGAACGAACAGTCCAAAAATGAACAAAAAGAGTCTTTTCTTACCTGATATAGCCGCTGTGTCACTACCCGGCACTACCTCAGCTAGTCGCCAGTCACTCCAACCAAGCTGACGCGAACACGTCAGTACTTCCGCAAGGCTTGCATTTTACGGCAGACCAGACGAGTAGAACCCTGAAAACTTGATGCAGGCCAACTCGGTTCATCGAGCTCAATTTGCACATGACTTTCATTTGATCCAGGGTTTCAAAAACAGGTCTTAAATGTAGCCCTGTTGGAGAAATTGTCACATTCGTCTGACTGAAGTGAAGTCACCGTAATTTAAATTCCGATTCAGAGAGGGTGTGAATGTGAGTCTGAACGGTTGTCTGAAAGTACCCTACTTGTCAACTGACTGAGTATTTAAATGCCGCTTTATATTGACATGAACTTTCAAAATGTTCAAACTGCCTATTCAAAAATAAAATAAAAAATTATTTAGGGATATCATTTACATGTGCTTGCCTGGAGCATCAACTGCACCATGCAGACCACTCGGTTTAATCCACTGTAACATGCACTGTTTAAACATAAACTCAACACTAGACCAGAGAGCAAGCAAACCACTAATGGATAATCACACATTTAATCAATTTAATGACATAGTTAAGACTGCTTTATCCACGACCAATTTTAATGGCACTCAAAAACTAAAAAAACAAGTCCCCACAAAAGGGGAGAAACATTACATGGGAGACAATTGCAGTATATCATCACCTACGCTTAAGGAAAACATTTAACTTAATCATAGAAAACATTGAACAATTAACAGCGTTAGATCGATGAGCACACCACTGAATAATCTTTACACCATCAGAAACAAACTACCAAAACTGTTACTATATACATCATAATACTGATCACATGCACGTTTGACACAAAATTGAAAGTTTGACTTTAAAAGCATTAAAGTGCTCCTCCTTTGTCCAGTTCGCGAGTTAAATGTATGCACAACAACCAAAATGCAACACACTTGTGTTACCAAACAAAATAAAAATCAAATTCATATGATGATCAAGTACGCCATCATAATTTGAGCATGCCATGAAACAAAACTGGAATGTTTCAGTTAAATATTCACAAACAAGTGCCATAAAGATTCTTAGAAGACACTCATCAAGCATGAACATAAGGAGGACCTTGCCCAGCAAGGTTTTGCATAAGAGGAAGGACTAAAAGGCGACTCTCTCGTCTGGTGTCACAGTCAACAGGGACGCTATTCAACGATGAACTAACCATCACTCAGATTTCATATCTGATGTTCAGATATAATACTGTTTCAGCATGTTCTCAATTGGTATGCAATGTTTTTCAGCCAGGGAGAATATTTTTCACAGTACAAATACATACCAAGAACAATTTAACACAGCAATACCGATTAGTCTAATCACATCGTCACTGATCCTGTGGTACCAGTCTTTGAATAGGCTGTTGCTGATAACATTGGCAAAAAAATCCAGCAGGGACTGCTCTGTGGGCTCAGCGAACATCTCTTTCCATGAACTCCTCTTTTATCGGGTGCTTGCTGCGTGCCACCTTGCAGTCGGGCATGTCGAAACCAAAGTCCGCCCACTCGTCGGTCGCTGCCGACATCCCCGTCGTCCCCACAACGCCTGACCTGTTGGGTATGGTAATGGTGTGGCGGACGCGAAAGTGCACGGCCTCCATGACGCGTTGACGTTGCAACTCCCCGCCAGCGGCCCCGATGGCGGCCACGTTGCTGCTGGAGCGTAGAAGCTGTTGGCCGTGGTAGTCGTGGTGGTGTGCGGAGGCAGGCAGCTGGAGGGGAGTGCTTTGTTTCATGTCCTGGAGTCCTCGCCAGATGGCAACGCGAGTCTGCTCTGGGATCTTCAGTGCGCCTAATTCCTGGAGACGAGCAGGGAGATACCGGAAATGGGATAAAAGAAGCGGAAGATAAATGAAAGTGTATTTTGTGTTCAACGAGATCCTGCAGACGATGTTTTGGGTAAGAAAAGTGATTCATTTTTTTACATCGAGAGGAATGTTGTTATTTCAAATTGTAGAAATAAACATGGTTCAGATTCCTATCGTGCTTTTTTTTTTTTTTTTGTGGGGTCATCCCCTTATTCCCTCGCTCGGTCCTTTTCTCTTGGAGGACATATATGACTGTGGCTCTCAGGGTCTGGCAGAAACAAGTGGCAAAAGCCTCCAAGATCGGGACACATGTGACTATACTCAAACAACTCTACTCATGGTGGACAATTTCTTAATTTAACAAGGAAATAATGAGGCGTTACAGAATTGTTACCTCCACGGAGAGTGTCTGGAGATGGTAGATAGTTTGCAGGCCTTGAGAGGTGAAGTATTCAATGAAGTTTTGGCAGCCCAGGCTGGTTAGAAAGCTGTAAGGGGATTCAGAAAAAAAGCAGCACTGTTTAAATTGTTTAATACTGATCTCGCCAAAACAGGTCTCACATGAACACCTTAACCAATATGGACGATGCGAAATCAAAAACACACTTAAATATGAATGATTCATTAGGCCATTCTTGCTTTGGTGAAGATTCTTTATTATAAATACACAAAATATAAAAGTATAAGCAAGATACAGTGATGGAAAAATGTTCTGCATGAAAAGTTACAAAATCTCAAAAGTCCACGGCTAGGAAAAAATGAGTGCATTCAAACACAATTTCACAAAAAAAAAAAAAAATCAACAAAAGTGTCAAATAAAACAGAATTTACAACATTAAAAAAATTGAGATGTTCTCTTGTGCATCACTAGCAGGTCTTTGGTAGTAAACACAACGATTAAACAACCGCATGACAACTGCATTTCATTAACTGCGTGACACGAAATTTGCAGCTTGGCTGCACGGTTGGACTCAAGAAAGGCTTCCCTTATGAACAACGTATCTGATTTAAACTATTTCAAGAAAGGCTTGACGGTTTCTTTGTAAATGTCTTTTGAACAGCGAAGAACAACAAAGTTCTCAGTGCATTGACACACACACTTACACTGTACAGGGCCATTGTCCACCAAACATATCTCTCAGCTTGACTGATTTACCCAAAAGTCTTTTTTTTTTCTTTCCCTCGACTTAGTAAAACTTTTGAGTAGCCCATTAATGAACCCGGTAGTTCTGGTGTACTACAATGCGTCTGCAAAACTATTCAAAGTCAGAACAACAATTTTATCACTTCTGCACAAACACGAATGAGCAAAAGTGGCCGTTTTGGAAGACACAGGCATGGCATAGCTCAGTTGTTAAACCAATGAAATTGTCTTACACAGGGAAATTGAGAAGTGTCATTGGAGGGTGAGGTACCTGACAAGGTTGGGGTCAGGGTTATACGGAGGGGGTGGGCTGCAATGTGAAGCAGACACTAAAGTCTGACTGCTGTGGCCACCGTTCATGTCACCGTTTGACTGCATGTGGTGGCTGTTGAGCACGTTGTGGCCTGGAAGAGAAGTATCATTGCACATTACAGTGGTACCTCTACTTACGAATGTCTCCTCATACGAAATTTTCAAGTTCAACAGGAAAATATTGCCTCTTGTTATGAAATAAATTTCAAGATACGAAAGGTAAAAATACAGTATGGTCAGCTTCTCGCAGCTCCGAGTTTCCTGAACGCAACATACTTATAGCTGCTCTGCCATTGGCTATTACCTGGCATCTTCCTGGCATCCCATTGGCTAAGAGGGACCTCTACCGAATGTGCCTATGTGTGTAGATAAATAAATAGATAGATATGTGTCTATGTAGCATCCTTGTCATTCGCTCCTCGGGCCATGAAGCGTTCCGATAGTTTTACGTACCAGTCGGGCGATCGCTCACTATGCTGATGTTTGCCTTGGACATTTTTGAAGGATTGTTATAAGCCAACAAAAGCAAACATCCTTGGATCAGTTCTTTACAAAACGCCAGGCAAAAACCACTTCTGAGGGAGAACATGGACTAAAGAGGGCAAAAAATGATGAGGACGCAGTTAAAAGTTAAATGATCACCATTTTCATTCTTTGTTTTTGCCATTATGCACAACTCTCATTTATTGTGCGATAATCTAATTGTAACATACATTTGTTACATATTTCAATGCATTTTTATGCTTTAGAAAACATTTCCATCTGAACTTTGGGGGGGCTTGGAACGGATTAGGGCATTTACATGGAAAACTCGTCTCTACTTGGTTGTTTGTCTGTATGTGCTCTGCGATTGGCTGGCAACCGGTTCAGGGTGTCCCCTGCCCACTGCCCGATGACGGCTGGAAAAGGCTCCGTTACGCCTCGTGACCCTTGTGAGGATAAGAAAATGGATAGATGGATGAAATGTATCAAGAGCACTTAGTTTGCACTTATTTTGTTCATATTTATAGCATTTCTGTCATACATCTGGTAAGGAAGCGCCAAGGCTCATGTGCTCCCCAGCAGCACTGATGAAAAATTGTGGCCGCCTCCAGCATTTTCCGTGAGTTGTCCATCCCTGACATCGTGTATTATGACCTTAAATCATACTCACTCATATGTGCCATGGAGGTGTGGCTAGTGGGGTGGTGCTGGGGCTGTGTCCCCACCAGGTGGTTGGCTGTCTGGGATTTACCGAGACCTCCATGTGGGTGATGCTTGTTCATATTTGACAATGGAGAGGAGGGAGATGCTATGTGGCTCCTGGAGACACAAATTCCCCGTTGGATAAGAGTAATGTCTGCCTAGCTTTGACACAAGCAAGCCGTGTCTTCACAGTAGCGTGCGCGCTAGTGTTTGTCAACTTTGTCGTGTACAGCGTGTGTGCATCACGGCGACTTACGGTCTTTGTAGCAGCTGCTGTTGTGTTTGTTGCCTGTAGGAGTCCACAAGTGGCTGAGGGACAAGCTCCACCAGTTCCAAACTGTCTTTAATCTTCATCAGCAGCTCAAAATTGTCTCGACCACGAACCTGCGCACACAGGTCAAGTGTGACCAAAACATATTTGTCAGGAACATCAGATATGCTATCAGTCATTTTTTTAATGGATTTCCTGCTGAGTATTTACACAAACACCACTGTGCAAAACATCCATTCGTTTGTCTGATAGCATTTCCCAACCTTTATTGAGGCAAGGCACATTTTCTACTTTCAAAAAAAGAACACCATGAAACAAAAACGTCACCAAAAAACGTATATACTTAAATAACGATGACCTTGTCTCAATTTACTCACAAATTGACTAATACAGTGTAAGGTCTGGCCCTATTTCGTTGAGCACGAAGATATTTTTCTGTTGTTTGAATGGCAACCGGTGGAAACAAAGGCTAAGTGTACCTTCTGCCATATAGTGGAAGAGCATTTAATTTGTTCCGCATGTCACTACTGTAGCTTACTTATACAGTATGTCGCTGGCCAAGATATACGAACCAAGATACATTATGTGTAGCGAAGAGGGGTGTATTGAAGGGTCAAAAATCAGTTTTGACTGAAATGATCTGAGTTCACCGGTAAACGAACAAATGAATCGGTCTCAATGTAATTTGAACCGGTAAAAAAAAAATGATGACACAACCGACGATTTGTTGTCCCTTCGAATTTATTCATTCATTCATTTTCCGATTTTCTTTTCTTTGAATTTAATGAACTTGAATAGTTTAGGCTTTGGAGCGCTTTTACATGTTGTTTTACCTGTCAATAAACACAACAAGAGGCTGCCTGAAAATCCCAAATTATGATTTACGGTACACAAAACAGTTTTTGTACTGTATTCACTTTCACTCTCAGAAATGCTGTTATTTTTACATTCAGATGTGTTCTTATTTTGAACTACATATTGAGCTACTTTCCATTTTGTTTCCTAATGGTAATATACCACCGTAATATACCATATTTCTCCCGTGGATGGTTGGTTATGATTTTAAAAATGAAGCACTTACAGGAATATAGTAAATCTCCTCATCCCCATGTCGCCGCTTCCTAAGGTTAACATTTGGGCTGGAAATATTTGGTGGGCTCTGTTTGAAATCTGCAGATGAGAGAGGCGTCGAATCAGTTTAACACATTCCACAGTCTCGTTAGTTCAACAACCAACAATGACAACGGGATGATCATAACAATAACTTACTGCGCTTATTGGCACTGCCATTCTTTGCCACAGTATCATTCAAGACTTGCTGTTCCCTGAAGTGGTCCTCATCTGCTTTGCGGTCTCGGCCAGGACACGCACATATCCGGCCTTCAAATGACCTTCGACCTAACACTTGTCCACTACAAGAATAGGCGTAGTTGATCTTGACTATAGTATAGCAAACATATTTCATGACATTGTCAACATTTTTGACCCCCGCATACTGAAAAATTTTGGGGTTTAAAAAAAAAAAAAATCGATATTTTTTTCCCCAATGTATTTTTCAATCAGCGTGAATTATATGCAGAGTTTCGCTATTCACGGGCCCGCTTATGGTGGGGGTCCATTGTCATTTATAATTAATACAATATTTTATATTCCATGAAATAGGCAAATGAAATCCTTGCTTGCAAAGATCAGCTCGTTGATACTAAAAAATGAATCGCAATTGTGCTGACGTGAATGAAAGGATGACTCACTCTCTCGATTCCAACGTAATAATGATAAGGATCGGTCTCCTGTTCATGCCGCCCACACAGCTGCTGTTGCACATGAAGTTGTACAAGATGGTGGTGAAGTCTGTCCCCACCTGCAACGTGTCATAACAAATCAAAGCGTCCTGCGGCGCTTTTTAAATTGTGGAAATCACAATGAGATTTCTACGTCCGCGAGCAATTTCTTTCACGCAATCAAATGTCAATGTGACACGGCCACCATTGGAGGGCAGTGTTGTCGAGCCCATGCTTTTGATTTGATCATCGTCTCAAGAAAAAAAAAATCAATTTGGATGAGTTATTTTGTGTGGAAATAGAACTCCCAAGGCTTGTATTGAGCTCCAACATAAAGATGATGAATAAAGATGTTCTACATAATGTTACTGTGGGTACAAATAAAGTAATGCACAACATCCTGACGTTAGCATAGCATCCTAAAATGGCTTCTTCATGGCACGTTATTCATGATACGTTCTGTGTGAGTGAATACATGCTTGTGGAAGAAGCACACACACGCACCTGTGGAGTCTCATAGGGAACAAAGACACTCTGGCGGCCGGTTATAGGATCATCCATGTACTGGCAGAGGTTGTTCCCCTCCACTCGGACGAGATGGCTGGCTGGTGCTGCTTGGCCTGAACAACCAGCCCGTGACATTTTTAAGCATCGCAGTGATGCAAGAATTCAGTTTCTTGTATCTGTATTGCATCTCGTGTGAGCAACAGCAACATTTTGGAATCACCGCAGACACACATTTTGTGAAAAGCAGCGAATGCCGAAGTACAGTTCATCGGACCGGGTGGCCGTACCGTCGTTAAACTCTCGACCCAGCTCGTGGTTGGGGCAACGCTTGACCACTTCTGTCACATGCTCGGCCTTCTTGTAGACCGGCATCGCTCGGATGATGCTTCCGTGGGGAGGGGAAGAGGACAGCTTGATCTGGATGGGACACGTCTTGGCAATCTGGCAGTAGAGCTTCTTCAGCAGCGGGGAGTACTAGGGGAGGAAAGAGTGCACGCGGTGAGCAAAACACCCGTACAATTTTTCATTCGGATTTCAAAAAGAATTTGACCTTGCAAATAAAATAAGTTTGGACCTGATACTGCAGTTTTTTTGAAATATGGCTCTTCATTCTAGTCACAGTGAATAAGCATTTACTTTTGGCGCCTTAATATATCAACTGAGAGACCATATTTTGCAGATTATTCAACCTAATAACAGATATAGAGGCTCAAGTCATAGAAGTCTTCACATTCTGCAATTTATTCACATTGACAAGCCAAATTTAGGGTGAAGATTCTTTATTAAGTACTTCCCATACGAGGTTATACTTGAGCTCCGTGCTTGGCATTTCAAATCTAGAGGCTATTCGTCACAGATATTGACTGGAAATTTTGAAGGCTACATTTGAGACAGTTTTCCAGATATTGCGCTTTAAAAATGGCTTTTGGTATGATTACAAAAAAAAACCGTCTAAACGACCCTACACTCAACGATTTATCATAAGAAATATATTAACAGGAGAAACCTAACATTTTGGATTTTTCCCATGAACGAGTGTATTTTTTTTTTTTATTAGAATTTTTCAGGACATTCTGAGACGGTCAGGTGGAAGGCATTTGATGAGATGACGCGCAATGACCGTCTACAAACACGACTGCCATGCTCTCATTTGCGAAAAAGTGGTTTCTTTCTTGGCAAATGATCATTTTGCTTTTTTGTGACGTTTTCACTAAGCCCTTAGAAACACACACTACACCCTCAGTTGCCCCCCCCCCCACCTCTCTTTTTTTTCACAACACACACACACACGGTCATACACTAGGACTAGGGGCAATGAAAATGCCTGCTTACTACGTAACAGCCCCCCAGCCTGTCCTGACACGTTTCAAAAACTCCACCTTCACCAATGATGATGACGAGGATGATGATGATTACTTTTAGCTAGGATAGGCTCCCTAATGAGGACAAGCGCTGAAGATAATGGACGGTGAGGTGATTATTATATATGCACCAAACGGAAATGTTGTTACTGTATTTGTATGCCGTGGTCACAAGAAGATTATAATTATGCTTTCCTGCTTGTGAAGAGTTGACATGATATCCTAATATTATTCTGAATGCACCATGTGATGGGGCATCTTCATACGCATGAAAAAGTTCAGTTTTTTTTTTTTTTCTTTTTTACTCAATCCTCCAGGATTCAGATGCCTTTGGAGATGTCTCGACTTGTCCGCCATCCTGACTGGTGTTCACATACACCAAACAACACGTGAAATAGCCTGCATCAAACTTGAAAGTGAAGAACCACTTTAATAAAAAGGAAAAAGAAGATGAGACAACAGAAGAGGAGTGATAGATCGACTTCAGCTCAGGGCAAAGACAAGGACGTTACTGACAGGAGGGAGAGTGAAAAGAAATGGACAAATTTTTCAATTCTAACACTTCATTTGTATCTTGGTCAAAATAGGCATTCGATGTTCTGTCGATTGGAAGCCGGCCGTCTTTACAGTATGGAGTGTATGTCACCACACTACGTCCATTCGAGGCAGGTCCTGACAGGCCTCTGGAAAGAGGGTGATAATTGTTTGATCGCCATCCATATACACAAGAAGCAGCTTGCCCGATGCGAAATCACCTGATTCCACAAATTTCTATTGTCACGTTGATCTTGAACACCTCATACAAACGCATATTTTATCAATCATTTAAAATTATTTATGTCAATACATAAACCGCTCTATGTTCTTTTTTTTTTCCATCCACAACAATTAAACAGTTTTGAGGCTAAAATGTTACAATTGGCAATTTTTGGGTTCAAATGTTTTATGCACATCCCATTGTTGATGAACAGCCAAACGAGTCATTATATTTTATCAAAATTTTCACAAGAGCGTGAGCAGTGATTTTCGCATTGCAGATGATGGACGGTGAAAATAAAGGAGATGCGCTGCAGGGGCATGTTGGGACCTGCAGCCGAACACAGAGAAGCTAATAGCTGGGAAAAGCAACTTCTGACAGGTCGCCTTGCGATACATGCTGGAGCAGATACCCCTCAACACATCACAACCCCCACCACAACCGCCGCAACCCCCTCCCCTCCCACACACACACACATATACATACTGTACACAAAAGACGCATACTTTATAATCATTGCTTATAGGGGAAACAAGGGAGTTTATATCATTCCATGCATGGTGGTGCTTGGCAACTTGTAAGGTACTGAATGTGGAGTTGGCTTATAAGAGTCAAGAAGGAGAAAGAGCTTATGAGGAGGGGAGGCTGCAAATTAGAACGAGTCAGATAATGTGGCCTCTTCTAGGTTGCAAACTAAGCTTTGCATCAGTCTCTGAGCTGACTATCAAGAAAAGTGGAGACCCAAGGCCCTATTTTCATCTACAGGCTGATGGCACAAAAGCTCACCAGGAAGCACAGTCTCCCAGCGCCCACTTTACAGCAGCCAACTTTACATCTTCCTCAAGTGGAGATCTTCTTGCTGGTCCTTATACACCAGTGGTGTCAAACTCAAGGCCCAGAGGTTAGAGTCGGCCCGCGACATCATTTTTCGTGGCCTGCAAAGGCAAATCACGTGTCAACTTCATCCATCCATTTTTTAATTCTCTTGTCCTCACAAGGGTCGCGGGGATGCTGGAGCCTATCCCAGCCATCATCGGGCAGTAGGCGGAGGACACCCTGAACTGGTCGCCAGCTAATCGTAGGGCACGCATGGATGAAAAACCATTCATGCTCACACTCACACCCAGGGACAATCTTGAGTGTTCAATCAGCCTGCCATGCATGTTTTGGGAATGTGGGAGGAAATCGGAGTACTCAGAGAAAACCCACGCAGGCACGTGGAGATCATGCAAACTCCACACAGGAAGGCCAGAGCCGGAATTGAACCCTGCACCTCTGCACTGTGAGGTGGACGTGCTAACCAGGCATACACAGTCGACTTCATTTTTCTTGTAAATTGTCTTCACTTTTAACACCTAGCGGTATAAGATATTGCGAAATTTCCTTTTTTTTTTTTTTTTTGTTAAATTCCCCTTTAAAATAAATTGAAAAACAGTGGAACGATTTAGGCTTCTGATTTCCAAACTAGTTATCCATCAACTTGTTGTGTATACTGTATGTGCGAATACAAGGTGATTATACATTTACAGTTCACAGTCATAGTGGCCCTCCAACTATGTGGCCCATGACAAAACTGAGTTTTACACCCTTGTTAACAACGCAATTTGTGTAAACGATTTCCTGCATGGACCCAAGCGAGCGAGTCCATTCGGCTTCCGCCATGTTGGCCGCGTGCCTCTCCTGCGCTGAATTTAAAGGGACTGAAGGGGGGCCGCTTCAACTGGCTGGGAATCAACTCAATTCAACTCTATTTATAGAGCAGTTCAAAAACAACCGCCGCTGCATACAAATCGCTGTACATGGAGCAAAAATAAGTCTTATAACAACAAACGATAAAGTAATACATTAATAACAAAGACAGTAAAAAGCACCAAGAGTAAAACTAAAACCAAGTCTCATGCTGAGTCATTAGCATCTTATCCACAGACCTGAGGCAGCGGGCAGGTGCAAAGGGTTGGAGGAGCTCAGAGAGGAGTCAAGTTGGCCGCGTTCACTCCCACAAAGCGCAAATGGCCATTTTCCTCTGACCCCAGTCGACGAAAATACCAAACGAAAGAAAAGCCACCCACGCGCACAGTTCGACTGCACTTTGTGCAGGACTTGCACTGGGCATGAAAATAGGGCCTGCAGTCTCCAAACGCTCAGCAAACCTTAACCACGTTGTTGATTAAATCACTTCATGACCCAAGTTTAGAAAAAACAACCATCCCCAACTCAACACTCGTCCGAGCAGTTTATTTGGGGGTAAACAAAGCACAAAACCAGCCTCCCATACATGTGCAGATGGACTAAGGTCATTGTAACAAGAGTAAAAGTTAGGAACGGTTTCTTTGCTCACACTTCATTTCTCATTCGGGTACCTCAACGATATTATCTTCACTCATGCTCACTCCTCAATAAACAAATCTTAAGTGGTTTATAACCCTCAGGAGTCACACATCTTAAACTTCTGTCCTCGCCGATGCAAACAACCAAATCATTCACGCAGCACTACAATTGCAAACCAATGTTGATAGATTGAGATTTTTGTTGCACTTTATTTTTTTCATTATCGAGATTACTGGAAGACCTCAAAGAATGATGTCATCGTATGACAGGAAGACAAGCTAAATTGAAGAGCAGATGACAGAGCATCTCATAAAACAGGTTGCAACCAATTTTTCTCATGACGTTGCGATATTTTGAGAGTCAAAATACAAAAATGTTGCTGTGCTTTGTAAAAAGACACCTGCCTCAGACAAGAAAGTTCGATCAAGTCAAATAAAAATGATTTTTGTGTTGTTGTTTGGTTTTTTTTTTCTTATAACAGACTACAATGAAACTCATAGCGCTTGAGCTGACAGGGTTAAGTGGGTTAAAGCCGGAGGAAGAAAGAGACAGCAGAATAAAAGCAGCAGGTTAAAGGTCACACTCTTCGGGATCTTCTTACATCACTGAGAGCTGCGTGAAGAAGCTCACCGTGCATGGTTGCCTCCAGCAAACATGGTCATGGAGGAGTCCCACAAACAGACACATTTCAACACACGCGGAGTGATGGAAGTGCAACTTGTATCCCGTTTCTCTTTTTTTCAGAAGGTCTAATGTGTGTCAGGCGGAGGTGACACCTTTCCACAGAGTTTATGGGAACGGGGGCCTGTGTGTGTGTGTGTGTGTGTGTGTGTGTGTGTGTGTGTGTGTGTGTGTGTGTGTGGAGAGGGGGGTATAAATCTATTTACACTATCACCAATGGGGCCCCTCTTCCAGTTTTGGGACAAAAAGCAGAGAGACAAAGGGCCAGGTAAAACAGGTGACTTGTGGTGTGGTTGATTTAAGTTCGGGTAAATGGTCATGTTTGTAAAGTGATGGGTGTTTGTTATTTCCTAACTCATTTTTTGCTGTTTAAAATAACTTTTAGTGCAGATTTTGGTAATGAAACTCAAGGGCCGAGGACCAGATCCCACTGGCCAAATAGGTTTTGTTGGGGGGAGGGGGGCAATGAAACAAATAAAAAGTGCTGACTTTATGTGTTCTTGGAAAAATGATTTGTTCTTTTCATTTGGGCAATCTGTAACCAAGTTGCATTTATACTCTTTACAGATATAAACTCCCCAGCACCACCATATCCCTTCCCAACATATAAAGTTAATTTTACTCTGGTTATATTGGTTATATTTGGTTGTCACTATTTTCCATGACTCCTGATTTCAAATCCAGTTTGTTGTAATAAAAAACATACAATTATAAGGAAATGCAGCAGAAATTACATATAATAAATAATATGAGGTGATTATACATTTACCGCTATACGATGCACATACTCACAACGAGCCTCTAAAGGAAACTTGAACTATGATGTTGCCTATGAATGAAAGATGCAATAAATGCGTGGCTCGATTAAAAGAACAAATGCAAAGAACACTGAACCATGTCCTTCTTGCAGTAAAAAAAAAATAAAGTCCAGAGAAGAAATTGGTTAATTTAGATTTAACTTGAAAAAGAAGAGAATAGAGAGTAAAATGAATGACTGGATGGTCCGTTAGTCTCCCTTGCACAGGGCAGGCCTGCACATGTGCTGGCTTGAGCGTTTGTAACTGTGTCCGGATGTCTGAGCGCGCATATGTTTGTGGGTAAAAAAAAAGGAATGAATGAAGAATCCGTACGCAAGCTTATCAAGAGCGCAGCTACTTACTGTCCATGTGGCCGACTTGGCAGTGCTGGACTGTTGAAAGGACAACTGGAAGGCGTGGGGTCCCGGGTAGTCAGTATTGGAGGGGATTGCCGGGGCAGGCGACAGGCCCTCGAAGGTGGAGTTGGGCTGGGAGTAGGGCGAAGGGGTGGGCACGGCCGAAGAAGCGTTCTCGGAGCTGTAAGGGCTGGCGGGCCTGGCCCTGCTCCCCAGACTATCCATGCTGCTGCTGCTGAGCAAGTTGTACTGGGACTGGGTGAGAGAAGAGCAGAGGAGAGAATGAGGGAGGTGAAGAGGGAGGAGAGAGACGGAGGCAGGGACACAGGTATCGAGATGCTGGAGAGACGGCGGCTCGGAGTCACGCAGGGAGGTCGGGTTACATTCAACTATGGCTTTGTGGATTCTCGGTCATCTAGGATATGGTCATCCACAAAGGCTGAATCAAGGCAACTGGACTTGGTTGAGGATGTCACAACTTAATACAGTGTGCAACTGTCCGGGAAGGTTTACGCTTAGAATTTATCATACCCTCCTGACTACCAGTAGTTCAAATTTGTGAACCTAAATATCTCCCACCCAGTGCATCCAATCGCATTAACTCCTTTTGTTACTCTAAAGAGGACATTCAGTGCTTTCCAATGATCCCAAATTTGTAGGGGTTAGAAATTTTTTATCAAACACATTTTGTCTTGAAATGCTGTTGGTATTTTATTTTTAGGACTCTTATGAACACGTTGAGTTGTTTTAAGTGTATTTGAGCCTAGTATTCAAGTGTTTAAAAAATACAGTGGAATTTCAAAAATTTATTTTGGAGTCGTCCAATTATTTCACATAGATTGGGGAATTTCAAAATAAATGTGATTGGACAACATTTTTTTTCCTGGTAGTCAGGAGGATACTAAAAATGAACACTTTTACAAAATTGGCACTCCTTCCCACCCCACCTAATCCTCTTGGACTCACCCCACACAGGACACCACCTTTTCCTGCTCCTTCCCTCTGGTAGGCGCTATCGAACAATGCGCACTTAAACAGCAGGCAATCCAATATACTTCTTCACCCTTGCCATGAACTTTGTAAACAGTTGATTCATATTTCATAGAGAGAACTTTCACAACTTTCCAGATGACTGTATTCATTGTTCTCTGTTACGCTGCATCATTTAGACATGGTTGCGGATCAGTATCATCAGACACTTTCTCAGTAACTCTCTGAACTTGATAAATGTTGGCGTTTATGTTCTAAATGTATATTTTATTACTTTATCATGTGTGTGTGTGTGCATGCGTGTGCGTCAGTTGTCGTTGCAGCCTGACCACACAGGAGCCACCTTGGGGCTATGCGGGTTAACTTGTAAATCACCAGTCTAATCGGCGCTCTCTAATTACCCGCAACCTCCCTCTTGTCCTCTTTGCCGTGTTTGACGAGAAGGAAGAGTTGTTGCTCTGAAGCGCGCGAGTGTGTGTGTGGTGACACCCTTGTCAGAGTCACCACAAGGCATCAGGCCCCTTTTTCGAGCGCTACACAAAATCGTGCAACTCCTCAATTTTTTTTACGCATGATCCATATTTATTTATTGCTCTTAAGACAGTCTTAAGAAAAAAACACAAGCCTATCGGTTGCACCTTGTGCTCCTTCAATCAATTTCTGTCTATAAAAAAAGTCAATGTGGCATTAAGTTGCAAGAGAAGCAATAAGCCACTGGAGCAATTCAATTTCAATTAAAATCATATCGTAGTCCCGATACGAACATTTTGAACAACAAAAACATACTTTCAAATGCAAACCGTTGTCAACTCACACGAGAAACATGAATGCAGCAATCTTTACCTTCTTTTTCACGTAGTACATCCTCTAAAGTTTGAGCCACATGTGTTAACACTTCGGTCAGAGACGTCCAAATAGAGCAAAGTGAGTGCAGGACAATTGCACAAAGCAAGAGTTCAAGTGAGGTGCGCATCAGTGGACACACCACTCGCCCTCTGTCTCTCTCTTTTGCTCTTTCTTTCACACACACGCGCACACACATATATGTAGATGCAGGACAAAGGTGAGGTAGTGTGTGTAGAGTGAGAGAGAAATAGACAGAGACGAGGGAGAGGAGAGAGGGAAATAGGGATGGGAGCCTTAAAAAAAAATGGTACAGCATTCTAATTATGGCATGCCTGGACATAGACTGCAATGCTGGGACACATGTACACGCATGCCGCAAAACACTTTGTGAAGGCCTGAGCTAAGTAAACACTGTCTGGGCATGTGTATGTGAGTGTGTAAGAGAGAGAGAGAGGGACAGAAAGAATTTTGACACACATAGTGTATCCTCATGTGTACCATTACAGACACGAATGAACAGACTTTGACACTTTAAAGACATGATCTTAACCGAGGTCAAAATGCAATTATTTAACTGAGCATGTGAGGCTTTTTTTTTTTTTACACAGACTGAAAAGCAGAGATGTTTTTGTTTGGTTGTTTCCAACAAGACAATTGGAGACACGCGCATAGAGGAATATGTCAAGTCCATCATGTTCCCCCGCCGTGGTTTATCAGATGAAAGCAAAGAGACGGGTCAATGTTCCAGACTTAATGCAAACTGTATAGTGCGAGTGTGTATGCACACGTGGATATGTGGATCTATACATTGACTCAAACATTAGGACAAGCCGTGCACATACGCTCACCAGTCACACAATTCAGGCAAACTCCTATGAAGAACCAATGTCAAAAAGTACAGCTTTAAAATCATAAATACATGATGATTGACAGACAGATGGTCATTTGACAATTTTGTGTTACTGAACTGTGTCGCATCGTAATAGATATGATATATACTGGGATGCTAAATGAATGTAGCAATTTTCAGCACTTAAATGTTCATATTCTGTCTATAATTAATTTCCATCCATCATTATCTGAACTGCTTTATGCTCACGAGGGTCGCAGGCGTGCTGGAGCCGATTGTAGCTGACTCTGGGCAGTTGGCGGGTGACACCCTCAACTGGTTGCCAGTCAATCACTGGCGAAAATGTATTTGATTAACTTCATTATTTTTCATGGATATTTAATAACCTTAAAATTGGTTTTAAAAACAATACGGCTTGCCACCATGCTCAGTGAACACGTCAGTAGACAATAACATCCGATTGTTTACTTCCTTTCAAATCCACCTTTGTGGTCCGAGGCGACGATGTCAGCCAGACGTATGTGTGAAAACACGAACATGCAACCGCGCACACCAATCACGCAAGCGCATCTGTTCACAGGTGTGTTTGGTCTTGGGAACTTCATTCGATCTGCAACAAGTTGAAACAGAGCCACGACCTGCGATGCTGTTGTGTGAGCAAGTGTGTGTGTGTGTGTGTGTGTGTGTGTGTGTGTGTGTGTGTGTGTGTGTGTGCGTGTGTGAGTATGCTTGTGAGTTCAAGCTTTAACAATGTGTGATGTCCCCTATATGGGCAGTCGTTTTACTGGCTGCCATTCAGAGATCAGATGAGCCTTGAAAGGCTGAAAATGTTTCGAAATGTCGACAGGCCATCCACGGCAACACTCAATATGAGTGAAGCACACAATAGACTGATGATCGAGAGATGACTCCTTTGCTAATGTCCTGCTTTCTGCTTTTGCGAATGTTAGCAAACGTCACCAACATATGACATCACAAAAAAAGTGACGTGAGTTTATGGAAACCTATCAGAGCCTAACGGATATTAAAGAAGATTCAGAGTTCAAGGGAAGTGGGGGCATTCAGGAGGGAAGTGATCTGCCCCCTGCTGGTAATATTATGTAAAGATCAAAATTAATGTAGACTAAATACAAAAGGCGTAAAGCAGCAGTAATAGGTTAGCATGCTATATATCTCAATGTTCCCGAATCTTTATCGAGTCAAGGCAATCATTTTATATTAGAATTGGCCATTATAATGTCACAAAAAGTATGAATATTGAATTAATGATGATAATGTCTCAATTTGCTCAAAATGACTTAGTGAAAAATATGGAACTGTTTATGAGCAAATGTATAACTCACAGGCAGAAATAACTTATTCTGTTGTATGTATGGCAGCAAGTGGATGCACAGGTTTACTGAACCTTCTGGCACCTTATGGAAGAGAATTTAATTGTTTTGCTCGTCACTCTCCTGTACATCGCTGGCATAGATAGATGGAAAAAGCGATATTTGTAATTAATTATTAATTAAAAACATGTAACCAAAACATCCTGTTCACAAAGTCATCATTTCATAATACTTCAGGTATAACATTACAATGGTTTGAATCATATTTAAAGAATACTGTATACTGTACAAGAATTAAGAACAGGATGTCCTCTTTTTTTAGACAGTACGGTGGGTGTGCCACAAGGCTCCATTATGGGGCCCGCATTGTTGAGTTTTTATATAAATGATCTTCTGGCGTTTTTTCCTGACGTTTTCACACAAGTGTACGCAGATGATGCTGTGATATACATTCATGCGAAAACAAGTCAGAAAACTCCAGCTGTGCTCCAGAATGCAATGGAAAATATATCAGAATGGATTGTGTGTGATACTTGATATTAAATTTTAGTAAAATGGTCAGCATCATTTTTGCTATAATACTGTACATAATACTCACCCAACACCTGAAATTATTATAAAAGGTAAAAAATATTTCAAAACGTATACTCCTTAAAATATTGCTGGCATGGATGCAGGAGGGACAAAGATACATTATTTGTTATGATTAAAAATGTTCTCACCAATTAAGTGAAACTTAAAAACCATTCAACATTCACAGTTATGGAAAAATAGTAGTTTTCACTGAACCTAGCAAGCATGTTTTTGGAATGTGGGAGAAAATAAAGTCGAATAGAGTGTACCCAGCGAAAACCCAAGCAAGCACAAGGATAACATGCAACATCCACACAGGAAAACTGGAGCCCTGATTCTAACAACAACCGCAGATCAGTGAGGCCGACGTGCTACCCCACCATGCCGACCCATTGTGTTGATATTTATGTTTACATTTATATGAAACAGGCCAATCTCTCTTATCCAAATAACTTGTGTGCTTGTATGCAAAAAGTGCACTGGTGTCAAATTAAAAGAAATCTTCTCCAAAACATTTAGATTATATGACTATGTCCACTACAAAATAAATGGAAGCAAAACTTTTTTTTTCCCACCTACCTGCACACACAGCATTTTAGCAATCCGGAAAAATTAGGTCACGGTCCCGTAAGAGTCTACATAATGCTGGAATCAAGTGAATGTCATTTTCGGCCGAGGATGTCACATCGCCTGCATCCCTCACCTGAATGGACCTCCACAACTTGCATTGCAACAACAAACACTAGCCCCACCCCCTTTTTTAATCTGTCATGAGTATTCATTAACTAGCCAGGCAGGCCCAGACTTGCCTACTAAAAGATTCGATCAGACCAATACTTACATACGGGAAGAAAGATAATGATGCGGTCATGTCTATCAACCAATTCTATTTGTTTTACATTGACATTGACAATCGAGCCTTATCCATCAATGTCATGGCCTTTGTTAAACTGCAATCTCTGACTCACTAGATCTGTGTTTGTGACACTGGAATAAACACACATCAGGTGGCTCTTTGGTGATTTGACAAGGGTATTCTGGCTCTGTCTTTAATTAGCCCTGCCCCGACACACACAAAACCACTCCTCAGTCCCTAAGGAATCTCAGTGGGGACACAGGGAGAGGGAAAATGCAGCACAAAGAGAGGGAAAGCATTTTGGAGGGAACACTGGAGGGAAAAGTGGAAGGATACATTTAAAAAAAATGGTGTGATGTGGTGTGGTGATGGTGTGCATGTGGTTGCGAACTGGGGAATGTTTGTTCACAATCAAAAAGGAAAAAAAATCGACAATTTGTTCCTACCATCACATTGTCATTCATGTCCCTCATGTGGTAGACGTCCATGGAAACTTCAGCAGTACTGCTCCGGTTCCCCGAAGTACTTGTAGAAGGTACTGGACGCTCACCTCCTGGGGGGAGCTCATAATAGGTACTGTCGGGCTCCCTGTAGGCACAATCGACAATGTGATGAAATTAAAGTCAGGAGTCTCGATAACTTTATTTTGAAATGTCAAAGGAGAATACGTACTGTTCTTTCAATCTTTGACCAAGAAGATTATTATTACCTCAGAGATAACCTTTGGCTAACATCTCAGATACAACCTATGGCTGGCTCACCTAATAATTTTGTAAAAAAAAAAAAAATAAAATAAAAATGAAACCTCGAAATAGGCCGAGAAAGCCGGAGAAGAGGACAATCTTTTGATCATCAACATGAAGAAATAATATGCTGCATAGCACTGTAATGCAGAGCAGTTTAACACCGCTAGCAGGAATCAAACATTCGGCTCGATGTTGAAAATATGAAAATAATACCTTGCTCCATCAAAACTGAGCATTGTTATCTTTTGACAATCTATTCTGTGTTGAGTTCATGGACAAAAGCATAATCTTATGGTGTGAATTTCATATTTATAATTGATGGTGGCCTTGCTCCTCAGAATGTCTTCTCCCCGCCCCCAAAACTTTTACTCTTGCAGAATTTGTTGTGAATATTACCACACGGCCCTGCGATTGGCTGGCAACCAGTTCAGGGTTGCCTCCTGCCTGAACACAGCTGGAAGAGGCTCCAGCACACACGCGACTGGATAAGTGGATTAGAAAACGGATGGATGGATGGATGGATGGATGGATGGATGGATGGATGGATGGATGGATGGATGGATGGATGGATGGATGGATGGATGGATGGATGGATGGATGGATATTACTGCCCATGATAGAGGGTGCTGACTTCATGAACTCAACAATCGGTGCACGAACAGAGTGCATGGTGCATCATTTTGGTGAGGAAATTACATTTTATATTTGAAAACACTCATGGTCTGAAATCATATGCATCTTACTAATTCAAATTAAAAATGCTACGGTTGTGTTAAAACTCACAGGGAGCTCCACAAGTTCTCAAAGGTGCCTCCTTCTTCATTCAATGAGGCCTGGGACATTTTGGAGGGTGGGTAGTCTGGCGAAGGGCAGATCACTCTGTGAAGCACGCAAGCGCGCACGCACGCACGCACACACACACACACACACACACACACACACACGCACACACGCACGCACGCACGCACGCACGCACGCACACACACACACACACACACACACGCACATACACACACATTAATTTTTGGACATACTGTTCATATTACGACTACCTCTTACGTTATACGCGCGCACACAGACGCCCGCACGTACACAGACCCCCAAGAACGCGCACACACACACGCGCATACGCACGCAGACACGTGTGATGGAACCAATGTAGTTTGCGGGTGTCAGGAGGGCCTGGGCGTGCCTAGACCAGCCAACTCATCAGTGAGAGAAGGCTCAGCATCACAACCTCCTCCTAAATGGTTCGCACCTGAACGAGGTGATCCGATAGTGGTTACCAAAGCAACCATATTTAGAAACATGCATGTGCGTGTGTGTGTGTGAGTGTGTGTGCATGTGTGCAGCGCCATATGTGGAGCAAGTGTGTAGGTGTGAAGGGTACATATATACATATATATACACATATATACATATATATATATATATACACACATACATACACACACACACATATATCACATGCACACATTTTTACACATTTTCACATTGATACACACACAACAGACACAGTTCGATTTCTGACAAGCAAGAGATGTCCTATTTTATGTTTGGCAGGGTAAACATTGACATTTTTAAAACATAATAAATATCAGTAATATTTCAATAACAGAACTAACAGTTGCAGATCGAGTCTCGCGCCTCGAGTCCGAGATAAGACAACGACAAGTGCGGCGAAGGTGCGTTTGTTGTTGCTTCTGTTTTCATTTTGCTCGTCTGAAAAACAAAAAGGAGAGGCCCATACCCTACGCGCCTGGATTTCGATTTTTTTTTTGTTTATATTGTTTTTCTGTACGATGATTTCTGTCCACAAGAAATTGCGCAACTTTGCAGCGCAAATGCAGATAGATGTCAAATTGTCTGTCCTCCTGGGTTACGGCCCCCATGGCAACTTAGACAATACACAACCACACACTCTGCTTCCCATGAGTACTGTATGGGTAAAAAGTGTACACTCCCAAATGTAAAGAAATTAATTATACATGTATTCAATTATCTGAAAGGCCTTGCAAACGATTTTATTGAATGTGACAACGGTGTTTTTTGGTCTTATTAAAAACACTTCGACAGTGAAAAAAAATGACGCAAGGGCGGCACAATAAAGCCAGGTCAGTGATTTAGCCATATTTTTGGGATGTGGCCGAAGAATAACACCATCATGTTAATTGAAATGATAATGAATCGTTCAAATGTGTGATCGTTACGCTCCTGACAAATGTTACAACAAACAAAAAGTATCATGTTAATTTTGACTAAAAAACTCAAACCAATAAGAAAATAATAATGTAAGACGGAAATTTGCCAAGCTGAGCCTTTCGGCTCAACAGATGCATTATTCTAAAACAACTCCGACTTTTGCTGGATAGTCCTGCATAAAAAAAAAAGAAAATAGAAAAATAAATGTATTTGTGTGAGAGTCTGAAATTCTGCTAACATCACAGTCAAACCACAAACAAATAAGCGGACCTACCTGAAGTGTGTTATTATCCCAATCCACAAGGAATTGTGTTGCGTGCAGAGCCTGTTTATTGTTGAACATACCCAGAGACTGAGCCTCCATATAAAGCACAATAACAAAAACAACGAAAAAAAATGACCTAACTCTAACTTTGATAAGAATGAAGCAGGAGATTGACTTTTCGGAGAAAATGAAAAGAGTGATAAGGATAGGGAAGCTGATTTGCATGCAGCCCTGGGAACTGTGAGCTTTGCTGAGGGACTTCAGCAGAGGTAAAGGAAGAAAGGGAGGCGGTAGGCAGCGGGTTTTGGGCGCACACAAGCGGGAAACCTTCTCCCATCTCCGCAGATGGATGCCTTTTGGCTATTTCTCACGATAGGGTTCAAAGTGTTACATGAAGAACAAAAAATGTTTCACGATAACGGAAACGGGATCATTTGTTGATAGAATAAGGCTGGGCAAAAACATAATTAAAATAAATCCAAATCAAGTTTGTTCACCTTGCACACCTAAAAGCATCACTCGAAAGAACTTAAAAAAAAGTCTAGCAGTAAATATTTGGTGGGTGCGTCAGCGCATGGCAAGGAAGTAATATCAGTTTAATGCAGAAAGAAACGCAAACACGATAAACTACATTTCCCACAATGCACAGGAAGCGCAGCGATACGCTGATTGGTCAGCGCTCCTGTGCCCGTCTTGGACTCATACAAACAAAACAGCTCATGTCATGATTATAGTGTGCTAATGACAATCAAACCAGGCTAACTTTTCGAAAACACAAACCCGGCTGAACTACCTCCTATCCCAGCGACGATGTTCTAACCCTGATTTGGGGAATCGCAAAGGTTAGCAGACTACATTCAGTGACGCGAAAAGCGTGTTACGCTGCCGTCGAAGAAGTCGTCAAGCCGTTAGCGACGTGTACGCTTGTATGCCCTTAATCTGCAAGTCTTCTGAAATACCGTTAAATCGATAGAAGGTAAAATTAAGTTGAGGTTTCAAAATAGTTTCGTTGCTATGTTGCCAACCAAGATAATTTCATCTTTATTTTGTTTTGTTGTCGCGAGTCAGTTTCATTAGCAACCTGTAGATATCTTCCGATCGCTAACTAAATCATCGTTTTTATTTTACAGTGACGCCATGTCCTAAAATTCACCTCTGACAACAATAGAACCATAAGTGGATTGTTTTGGAGTTATCGTGCATGATTCTTATGTTATGTGTATAATATGAAAGTCGTACAGTACTTGGTTCTTGGACGTATGTCCCCATCTCGTGTTTAATTGGAGAATTACCCCCGCCGGACTCGAAGGTTCCTGTTCGATGAAACTCATTCAAATGCCCTAAGATAACATTTCTTGTCTAGAAATCCACGACATGAATTTCTCTGAGGTCTTCAAGCAATCCAACCACCTTTGTAAAATCTCCCCAGACGGGAAATATTTAGTAAGTTTTAATGTCTTACATTCAGTCGTCATTATTGGGAAGATGATTTAATTTGATTTTTTTCAGTGACTTGTCTTACGTTTTTTTAAAAAAAATGACTTTTGCAGGCTACCTGCGTTCAGTATCGGTTGGTGGTACGGGATGTGAGTACGCTGCAGATCCTGAACCTCTACACCTGCCTGGACCAAATATCTCACATGGAATGGTCGTCTGACTCTCAGTTCATCTTGTGTGCTATGTACAAGAGAGCACTGGTGCAGGTAGGCTGTGAGAAGATGCTTATGAATAACCTAACAGATGTTCATGCCAGTTTTGTAATTATTTTTCAATACAAATTTGATTTTCTGGTTTATTTCGGTTCTCGCACCAGCTACAAATAAACAAGTTTTTCCAAGAAATTTTTGGTCTTCCCAGTGAAGTAGAAGCCATATTTGACACATCAATTAAACATGATTGACAATTATTTTTCTTTTCAGTTGCACCCCATGTTTGTATTCTTTATTTGATAGGCGGGATGATTACTTAATTGGTAAGGATATTCAGTTATATGGGTGACAAATGTGCCTGACACAAACGTGTTTGAATTTTGAATAGCTTAATAAATATTAAGTGGGTAAAACACTAATATTAAAGAAATTGTTCGAGGCTATAAACATAGTCATTTTTAACTGATGGCCACAATATAAAAACAAAAACAACAACAACAATGTGCCTGCTAAAAATTGTATTACCGGTATTTCTTTATGTCTTTAGATTGTCGGGCATGCATGTAGTGGTAATCCATAAAGGTTGAATGGAGGCTTCTTCTAGTTTGTAGACTTTGTTTTGTTTTCCAAAAATGGACTGAGAAATGACATAAGCGGCAATGCTATCAGGCTAATGCAATGTTTCATGTGCTAATAGATCATGGTAACTATGCCAACAATACCTTGATGATACAAGTAAATAGTCTCAAGGGATATAGAAAGATGTTTGTCTCTCTGTGCTGACTTTTTGGACAAGTTGCATACTTTACACATCGTACCGGTTCTCCGAATACACGAATACTTGATGGAGCTTTGCATGAAACATGAACAGTAAAAATCAAAAATCAGGATATCATGACAAGAAATGTATTTTTTTTTAGACAACAATTTCTAATAATGGACAGAAGTAGTGCATTTTATTGTAAGGGCACCGCCCGTGTCTTACCTCTGGAAGGGGATCCATCGCCAGTCTTTCATGGTTTCAAATGGTTCTCGAAACTGAAGTTAAGGAAGACACCGTCTGCGTGTGAGGAGGTGTCATTGGTGATGGTTATCCTGCTGTCCCGCTCCCTGTCTTTCTCCTCAGGTGTGGTCGTTGGAACAGCCCGACTGGCACTGTAAAATCGACGAGGGCTCGATCGGCCTGGTCGCTTCTCGCTGGAGTCCAGACGGACGTCACATTCTCAACACCACCGAATTCCATGTAAGTGCCAAGTTAGTGCGTGTAAGCGGGCATGCCTTCTCGCGCGCGCAAGTGTGTTAATGCATGCGCTTGTCTGATTTCCACTGTTGCTGGCCCACAAGGAAAGGGGGGTCTTAAAAATAGCTGGACACCAGAGCCTTAACACCCCCACCCACCCCCACCTGCTGCATGTATTCAGTCTGATTTCATAGCTCCACTCCTGTTAGCATCCTGTCATACATTGCACTTATTGCCTCTGGAACATTTTTTTGCATCATGCAGCTCTGTCGCGATCCAAATGTTGGCTTAAGGTTGCTACTTTAGCTTTGACCAAGGAGGAAGAAATTACCAGCACCTCTCAAACTTGCTTGCATCCAAGGTTTTTGCTGTTAGGGAGCCTTTGTGCATTAAGATTTAAGAAAGATGTTTTAAGATTGTGTACTCGAAAGAATGATTGAATTTTTTTTTTACCTCGGACCTTCGTGAATGTTGGTGTCCACAAGAAAAAAAAGCAGCTTTCCGGTTTTCAGACGAAAATGTTTTATGCTGTAATATTGTCACACTATTACAGAAGTTTCAAACATTTGTATACCAAGCACTACCTAAAAATATTTAGCTCTTCATGTAGCACCATATTGACATTACAATACAGAAGAAAAGTAGGGCTAAACTTCTCTCAAAAGCAAGACTGTTATTCCTGTAAAATATTTTAATATGATTGTAAGATGCGGTAAAAACAACAGTTCTAAAATATTACCCTGACATATTTGGAACTTAAAGTTAAATACAACTGAACTGTAGGGGAGACCGGCGCTCGATGTCTTACTTTTTGAACTAACTCTAAAATATTATGCAACACGCACTGGAATTAAAGTCCTTAGGAACTGCTGGCACAAAGGCCGCGGCTCATCAGCCTCAAATTGCCCATTTTAGTTTCCTTAACCTGAAAATTGACAACGCATTGGTTCCTTATCAAACGTAAATCAGTCCTGAAATGTGGACATAGTTCCAACAATAACTGGAAGATCCATTTATATGCATTCAAACAAAACCTGACAAACGCATTTCCTCAACTAATCAGACACATCGTCCGAATGGGCAATTCTGGCATCCGTAAACCGATTTGCTCGGGGTGTACTTTTCATTGGCCGCTTCTTTGCTTATGTCACGTGACAACAAACTCCAAAATGACTGAGACGTGTTACCACAAACCACCATGTTTGCTAATACTAGCTCTATGAGGTATAGCGAGATTCCTGAATCAGATTTTTTTTTGTTTTTTTTTGTCTGGATGATGCTTGTTTCAAAAAGATGTCAAGTCAACGTTTTCTACTTTGGGTTGTACAAAATGGTAAAATGTCACTCATCTCAGCACCCGATGTGCTATTCTCTCCTCAGACAGGACATGACGGCTGACCATATCAAGGATGAAAATCGGGGTTTCACTTTTTAGTTGTGCCTTCTGATGGAGAAGCTCACTGCAATGCGAAAAATTTAACCATGTGACAATGAGCCCCGATCTCCCCTACTTTGTGTACCACTACAGGGAGCCCGCATACCACCAGTAGTACCCATACCACACTTTGATTGAGTTCACTAACACTTCTAGCAACTGCCGAGGTCTATTTCATAATTCCAGAGACGCTGAAAAATATTTGCCCTGAAATTTTATAGGGTCAACCTACGGCTAACCAACAATGAACGTGCCAAAAATGATTTCCATTCCAACGTGTAAACTCCCGATGGCTGATTTGTGTTCACTCCATAGTGGTCACATGTTGTGTGAGTGATGAGAGCTTGCACTGGAGCTGTAACCTTCAGCCCGTGCGGCATACGAAGTTGAGCCTGACTCTGGGAATCACTTGACAGGTGTCATGGGCCAACACACAACTGTGTCTGGAGGGCCGAGGAGTGTGAAGTGGGGGGGGGGCTCTGTGTCTGTCTCTGGATCTTCCACCTCTAATACAAGGAGAACAAGATGGACAATGTTAAAGAAAAGCAAATCCCCATCTCATGTCACATCAGTGTTTCATTCATTCATTTTCCAATCCGCTTAATCCTCACAAGGGTCGCGGGGTGTGCTGGAGCCCATCCCAGCCGTCTTCGGGCAGTAGGCGGGGGACACCCTAAACCGGTTGCCAGCCAATCGCAGGGCACACACAGACGAACAACCATCCGCGCTCACACTCACTCCTAGGGACAATTGAGAGTGTTCCATTAACCTGCCACGCATGTTTTTGGAATGTGGGAGGAAACCGGAGTACCCGGAGAAAGCCCACGCAGGCCCGGGGAAAACATGCAAACTCCACACAGGGAGGCCGGAGCTGGAATTGAACCTCTGCACTGTGAGGTCGACGTGCTAACCACTTGACTACCGGGCTGCCCTGCATCAATGTTTCGTAAGATTTAATATTGCAAGCACTGCATACACTGTACATAACATAGAAAACTTTTAGAAAATCAATGCAAATGCATGATGAATATCATATCTCCTCAAATAGAAGGACAGCGAGTGCATTTACCAATGGCAATGAATCTGAGGCGGGAGTTTTGAGGGAATTTCAGGTGTATGGCCGATGAGCTGGCGTCAGCTAACACGAACTAAATGACAGCGTAGCCTTTTGAACCGAGCCCATGCGAAGTGAACCAAACTGTTACGCTATAGTGAGTGTGAGGAGTGGCACCGCCTGTTATTTTTTTCCTAAAGGGGAAAAGGAGACCCAACATTTGGGGAGAGCCACATAATGGGGGCAACATGCACCGTGACTAATTGGGACATGTCTGGTGGACGCCATGATTTGAAAATGTACCGTAAATGCTTGGCCAGCCAGCAATGTGACATTGACTACAAGTTTTTAATTCATACAGTATGTGTGTGTGTGTTTTTTTTGTTAATTGAATCATAAATACTGTATGTGAATGTACAGTATTGCATCACAATATTTCTCACCCTCTGCACAGAGGTTTACGCAAGCCCCCTTTGCCAGTCTAATTACCGGCTAGTATGCAATATTGCAACCGACTTATTTATTTACGATTTACATTGTCGCTCAAGTTGGAAAGCAATTTAACAGAGTCAAAAAAATCGCCCTTACTACTATCTTGAGTCTTTACAACGGTCCGGCTGAACTTACTTTCACCTCAAAGCGAGGTTTCATTAAGCCTGTGCCAGACGGGGGCTCGTGTCGGGCTTGAGTTTCAGCGCCGCTCATAAACAGCCTGCTATAATAACTTGTTTAGGGACAGCTGCCCCTGGTGTGAATCGTGCCTCTGAATGCGTTTGTCTGTCTGACTATGCGACGGTAAAGCTGCTTAGCCGTGTGTGTGTGTGTGTGTGTGTGTGTGTGTGTGTGTGTGTGTGTGTGTGTGTGTGTGTGTGTGTGTGTGTGTGTGTTTTAGCTGGGTGCCATTTACCGGATTTGAAATCATATGACAATATGATGAAACACTTGAACAGGGACATGAATATTTTCTTCATCACCGTCTTTTTGCGCTATCCTGAAATGTTTTATGGTTGAATTTGAGTCCCATCAGAAGTACAATGAGACTTTTAGCCCGACCACTTATGTTTTCTTGCGAGTTGGTTTTCGATCATATCTTCGGTGTTACCTCATAACCACCATTGAAATACAGTCGTTTAGGACTGTTGGAGGAGGGCGAGTGCAACCAGCTTTCAAAGGTATAATTGCGCCAGCGATGAAAACTCACATTTACATTGTGAACTTTTATCTCTCCCTCTTGTAAATTGACGACAGCCGAGGGCGTCGTTGAGTTCAACTCCATGTAATTGCTTTTAGATTGGCGGGGTTTGGATTTGCATCCTTGGGACGGCTGGAGCCGGGGCTCGCCTCTCAATCGTCACCGCTGCCGCTGGCCGACGTGGGCACGGTGACAAGAGTTCCGCCGTACGTAGATGTTGCCTTGAAGAGGCTCCGGTTTCTGGATGCAATCATGAGGCTGTAACAAGAGAAATGGGCTATATCGGTTTGAGATGGCTTCCTATGCGGAATGCCTCCACTCTAATCCTCCGCTGACAGATCAGAATATACGGCAGCAGATACGCTTGCCCGTTCTCCGTGACTTGCCCAGGCGCAAATCCGGAAATCGCTGACATGCTTAATTTCATCTTGCTGATATTAAAGTTTGCTTTTCTCGTTATCTTCAGTCATTCTGCCCATGAGTGACCGTATTATGGAGATATAGGCATTTTTCATACATCCTTATTGTTAATCGTAAAATAAGATTTTTTTGGCTTTGAGGGTAGTGTCATGACCGTATGTTCCACACTAAAAGGCGCACTGGATTATGAGGCGCACCTTCAATGAATGGCCTATTTTGTAATTTTTTTCATACATTGGGCGCACCGCGTTATAAAACGCAATCTACAATGCATCCACTAGATGGAGCTACGCTCAAGGGAACGCCAACAGTCAACTGTGTAACCCGATCGCCTTAAGTTTGAACTCTGCGTTGCCAGCATGTCTCCAGCAAGGAGCCATTTTGGGGTAGAAATATTACCGTAATGACCATACACAAGGCGCATCGGATTTTAAGGCGCGCTCACCGCGCTGTGAGCTTTTAAGAAAATGGAAAGCTTTACGCTGCGCCTTTTAGTGCGGAAAATACGGTATGTAATTTGTGATCATTTTCATAAATTCTGACAAAAGCCCCATTTGAGAATGATGGCATTGGGCCACATCTCGAATGTTGTATTTGGCGGATTCAAGTGTTTTTTTTTTTTTTTTTTTTTTCCATATTGGTATTGCTTATCCTGAAAGGCACGTTCAGGTGTGCCATGAGTTGCTGTTGGCGGTCATGCACAGCCGGATATCTTCAGCAAACAGGGTGGACATTTCAGGCCACTTAGGTGACATGCGCTGGCTCAGTTGGAATGTCCGTTTAAATGCTGCGATGAAAGCTCCAAGCATTCTCAAATGCAGAATGGATGATCGGTTTATTTGCATTGTACAGACTGTCAGAAGCCTAGGCTCATATGTTCTTTGCCGTGTATATTTTGGAACGATTGTACCAGGAGTTTTTGTGTCCAGGATGTTTTGAATCATTTTTCATGTTTCATGTCAGACCTGCTGTCATTTCATGTTCGTATTTCTGAAACTGATAAATATAAGCTCCATGACAAGGTGTGGTTGATTTTTTTCCAAGTTTATTTTAGTGCTGGAACTTATGTAAATGACATTTTATTTCTGTAGAAATGACTTTGACGGGATAAGATGAGCCCCAGGTTGTAACTTTTCTTCTGCTTGTCGTGTCTTGACAGCTGAGGATCACCGTGTGGTCCCTGTGCACCAAAGCTGTGTCTTACATCAAGAATCCCAAAGCTTGTCACAAGGGTGAGTCTGAGAATAATTCCGTCGCAATGAAGTACTTGTGCTTTTGGAGTGTATCCACCCCCCCCCACGGACGGGATCAGCAGAATGTCCATGAATCACATGCCATTCTTTTACCTTGCGGCCGATCCTGGGCTATGTATAAAAAAAGCGCACCTCTCTCTGCGGTCAGCTGTGCGCCTTTCAGTCAATGGGACATGCTTTTCTTAACAGGCCTGTCGGCAGCCCGGTTAAAAATTATAGTCTGTTACCGTCACCCTTTGCACCATGCATCCCCTCAAGATGCCAGAAATAATAAGTCCATGTTACTCCACTCTTTAAGTTGATCACAACACTTTGTGCCTGCAGGTATTGATTTCAGCAGAGATGGCTGTTACATGGCCTTGGCCGAACGTCGCGACTGCAAAGATTATGTTTGTGTGTTTGTGTGCGACGACTGGCATTTGCTCAGGGTAAGTAGAACGCGCAGCCTCGGCTTTTCCGCCATTTACCAAGTTTACCCGAACGCTAACATAAATCCTGGAGTCAAACTTTTACAACAGCGGTTCATATTCTAGTACGGTTAAAGTTGTGTCCAAGTGATCGCCGTTCTCAGTCTGTACTGCTTCCTTGATTATTTAAAGTGTAAATATGGTATGATGACGATTCTTTTACAGCATTTTGAGACCGAGACGCAGGACCTGGCAGGGTTAGAGTGGTCTCCTAATGGCTGCGTCCTGGCTGTTTGGGACAGCTGTCTGGAGGTAAAATCCTCAGTGCTGGTGCGTGGTAGCTGGAGTCCGAAGTAGTGCAAAATCATCATTTTAAAAAAGGGGGGGGGGGGTTCTCGTTCATACTTCCAAATTGTGATATGATGACAATGGCATCTTTGTTTTTTTGCCTTATCGTGTAAAGCGAACTCCACTATTCGTGAATGAAAGTGACCGAGCCAAGTCGCGAAAATACACGAAGAATGCTCTACGTGCGTAGCGGTTCTGTGTTTGGTTTAAGGTGGCGTGTTAACTAACCTCTGGTCGGCATGTGAAAGCACAATGACAACGTATGAAATGTGTCAAAACTTGAACATATGGCACACGGCATTATTGGCTGGAGGAGCTATTGCCTCGTCTTTGAAAAATCCAAACATTCAATGCAGTTTCAACTTAAAGGCCAGCAGTGCTGAACTATTGAAAACTATTGCACAACTCCCCGGTTATCCCACATTTAACGAGGGGTTATTTTTTGGGGCAAAAGGCGTTCCAATAATATTGACAGCTGAAACTTATGTTGTCTGACCTGTCCACCAAAAATGCTTCTTCAGCCACATGAAAAGGCTTGTAATTGCTTACAGCTGCCACAAGATGGTGCCACATTTTCTTAATATTAGACAGAAAAAAAAAACGGCGGCCAAATTTAAGGTGCATTTTCCTCCCATTTGCACTGCTTTCTTGCATACGTTCATGTAAGGGGCCCAATTCTTGAGAAGGAAAGAAATGTAAAAGGTCAAACTCACCTTTCTCATTCCGTTGGAAGCACAACGCTTGCTTGACGCGCATGTCCTCCTGGCAGTACAAGGTGTTGCTGTATTCTCTGGATGGCCGCTTGCTGTCCACTTACAGCGCCTACGAGTGGTCGCTGGGAGTCAAGTGTGTGGCCTGGAGCCCCAGCAGTCAATTCCTGGCCATTGGCAGCTACGACGAAAAAGTATGGGCACACTTTAACAAAATCACACCATACATTGATCCTTGTAAAGAAGTGTCTTGACTTGGACTTCTGCCACGTGTCAGAAATCGTATCGTTAGTGACTGTAATCCCGTTGCAGGTACGCATCCTGAACCACATCACATGGAAGAAGATCGCACAGTTTGAACACCCAGCAACAGTCACCTCTACGAAAGTTGCAAGTATTTTCTGCCATCTTTGTTCGACCAAAAGGCCGCTGAGCTTGATGATAACTGAAGCTACTTGTTGCGTTGGTAGGTTGTGTATAAGGAAGTGGAGAAAAGGTCAGCTGCCGGCAGTGAAGAACACACGCTACACAACATAACGATGGGCTCGAGTCTATTAAGCCGTCGGAGCAAATGTACGTCAGTGCTTGCCTTTTATTGAAAAGAAAAAAAACAAAACAACTGTTTATTTGACTTATTTTGCTACGGCAATTCTGGGTGCAAGTTCTCACCTGCTTTCTTGTCGTCGCCTCCAGATGAGATTCACCCAGCTCCAGTTCAAATGCCTGTGGTCAGACCAGACCCAGACAGGGCCAACCCCAAGATCGGCGTCTCTACGTTGGCCTTCAGCTCAGACAGTCGCTACTTAGCCACCAAAAATGGTCAGGCCTCACGTTCCCCTCACGTTGATCACCACGTATTTGATGAGCAGCTCTCGGCGGCCCTGGAGAGCGCTTTCAGGATGCTTGGTGGATGTGCCTTTTTGACCGCAGATAACATGGCCAGCGTCATCTGGGTGTGGGACATGCAGAAGATGAGCCTCGAGGCCGTGCTTGAGCAGACGTCGGCCGTGCGCTGCTTCCAGTGGGACCCGAAACGCTCGCGGTTGGCGATGTGCACCGGCAACACCAAAGTTTACCTGTGGACCCCGACGGGATGCGTTTCTGTCGAAGTCCCTAGCGATGGTAACGTGATTTGCGATTGTATGTTGCCAGATTTTAGAAAAAAAAAAAGTACAAATGCTTACGTCTCATAGAATTATGCGTCGTAGCGATGCGATTCCGACTGAATAGAACAAGCTTTGTTTTTAAAAATGCTCGTCTGGCAGCAATCAAAGAATGACTACTCGTTGTAATCAAGGTATATACTAATACTCCTGAAACCAGGGGTGTCAAACTCATTTCACATTGTGAGCCACATACGGCCTGAGTCGATGTCAAGTGGGCCGGTCCGTTAAAATTATACTATACTCTGCTATAAATAACCAAAATATCATATTTTTCCTTTGTTTTGGGAGAAAGAAGCACAAGAAAATGTTGAAATTGAACCAACATACCTTTTCCAAAACATTTAACAAAATGACTTGACTCTCTGCTTCATTTGGCTGTCTAAATCTGCTGATAGGTCTGAAATCCTCGTCAGGCTAATATTGGCAAAAGCTTGTCGGTTCTCGGGACATACAAGTACAGCCGCCTTCATCATGCATCATTTCATAAAGTCACCGTTGGAATATGGCTTTGATGCTAATGCTACTTCGCTAGCAATTAGGTAGCTGACTTTTACTGCTGGGTTGGGTCTGTCTCGGTGACAGACAGACTGCTGTTGTCTTCTTCTCTGATCAAAACAGTGTTCCCCTAGCGGATGACCCATGAATTGCAGCTTATTAAAAACATTCATTCAGTGTCTTATCTATTCTTTCACTTTTAAATTACCCTGCGGGCCTGATCGAACCTCATTAGGGGCCGGTTCCGGCCCGCGGGCCAAATGTTTGACACCCCTGCCTTAAACCCTCACTCAGTTTTCAATTCTCTTTATATTACATCACTTGTTGCATTTGTGGATATGACGACATCACCTATTCCGGTGCACAAAGCATCTTCGTGTCACTGTCATGCACTGAATAGAACGACTCAGTTGAGACTTACTTCTTTGTGGCCATCTCCTGCCAGGCGGTTTCCAGGTCCAGCTGCTGACGTGGCACTGCCACGGGGATCCTCTCATCCTGCTTGGGAAGGAGCAACTGTGTTTGTGCTACACCAACACTGGCACTGAGGACAAGTGATGCAAGCAGGCACATAACTGGAATTCACTTCCAGTGTATTCTGACATGAAAACTGGTCCAGTGAACTAAGGACTCAGCGCTCAGCTCCACCAGCGTAATTTACTTGAAGTACTTTGTCATACTGAACCTTTTGGAAAATCTGACATTGACCTTTTTGGATTAAGAAAAAAAAACGTCTTCGATAAATACACACGAGGGCACTGGTTGTGAACACTGTGAGGTTGATTGCGCAAGCTCTGAGCGATCACTTTCTATTTCTAAACATTTGTACTTTCCCTTGACATTTTTGTACGTTATTTTGAATAAAATTTGACAGCCGATTTTGGAGAGCTTCGTCCGAATGCATTTTTTGTGAGATGAAAAAACAAAAATGTCTTGAAAATTCATCCTATTCAAGAAAGGGCAAAAGAAGAAAAAAAAAGCATGTTTCTGGACTTTTGACGTGTTGCAAAGTACATTTCATATTACAGTTCTGTATTCTTAGAATGAAGACAGGAGGTTAGATTACTACGAGTTAAAAAAAAAACCCTCTAAGAACTCCAACAAGGCTTAACCCTCCAATTTTGCTGCAAAATCTTATTTTTATAGTGAAAAAATAAGTTTGTGATAAAACTTGGCCCTATGTTTTATTTTACTTGTATAATGTATGTATATATTTTTTGCTCACTACACATTGTACAGAAAAATAAAAATGAGTTAAACATACCAGAAACCACAGGTCAAATTGACTCAAAAAGGCAACGGGAGGTTTCACTATTTGTCACATGCATTAACAATGAAAGTGTTCTACGTTCCCCTCACAACAGATTCCAACACAATCTAGTGCAGCGACGGGTAAAACTTAAATATAGGAAAGGAGCCACAAATTTTCATCAGCTCTACGGTGCATATGAGTCGGTGACCACACACACGTTCTAACCAGCTGTATGACAGTGTGTACGTGTCGGCCCGCGTTACAGCAAAAATACGTGTTATAATTGACCCGCATTGAATTGGGAAATTCATTTTTAACACGTAAAGAGTTTATAATTTACCCCCAGCCCCAAGAAAATTGGGGTCCACATACAGCCCACCAGTTGCCCATCCCTTGATCGACTGAGATTTGACAGATACACTCTACTGCAGGGGTGCCCAAACTTTTTGGACCGAAAATGGACTTTTCGATCAACCAACCTCCGGCGATCGACCCCTTACCGCGCGCGCGCACGCACATCCACACGCACGCCATGATGAGCAACAGCCTGACACGGAGGCATGCGACGCACTTTTGCAGCCTGATAACTATCGTAGCTCACACGTACCGTTTCAAAGTGCTTCCCTCGGCCCTCTAGATTCCTTTTTCTTTGCCCGTGCCCTCTGTGAATTGTACACCAAACAAACTCTGCATTAGAATAATGCTAACGATAAAAGGTATAGCGCAACAGCTCTGATAACAAGCTGCAATTGCAGACTGCTGAGCGCCACTGGAGGTTAAAGATTTACCTGCTTTATTTTATTTTTTAAATACTTTTTGTGAAAATGAGACTGATCGGATGCAGTGTACATTAACACAAAAAAATATATGACTAACATGCACAAAGACACAAATAGTTGGATTTTTTTATCCTCCTCTACACCCCTCGCGATCGCGATCGACGTAATGGGCACCCCTGCTCTACTGCATATGATATTGCTGCCAAATGTGCAAACAAATCCGAATACTGTACAGCTTCATTTGGTTGCATCCCTGGACAAGAATCAAGATCTCGATTAAAAACAAAACAGTCCCATTTTTTTGCTTGAACAACTCTCACAATGCAAAAGCAGCTCTGAATGTGAACGCAGTGAGAAAGCAACAACACTGGCCAAAAAGGAGACAAAAGGTCACGTTGGCTTATTGGCTTATTTATTTTTCCGGTGTGAAGAATATTCTCTTCTTTTCCCCAGTAAACAAGCGGAGTTGTTAATAAAGACAGAGCGCATCATGATCGATTCCCCTATTAGCAAGGCTTATTCCACTTAATCATGTGACGACTTGACATTCAGTACAACTCTCGTTCCCTTCCCACGGACCCGCCCAGTGGTCTCATGATCGCTTCATTTCATTGAACATACAGTACTCATCACCGCAGGCACACAGCCACTACACATCTTTGGCACTGAAGGCCGTTTTGTAACAGTTAACGCCCAAATAAGGAGCAGAAGACTGCAGCACACCCGGTTGAGGACAAATACAGAATACGCAAACGCTGTTGTCGTTTTTCCTCATCGACATTTGTCACATACCCGTACAGTTGAGGGGCCCATGCAAGTATGGCAGCTCTTGAAAGGAACGGGGGCTGGGGTGTTTAGAACAAATGAAGAGACAGTCCATGCAAGTCTTCAGCTGGCTGACCACCTGTCTGCTACAAACAACTTGCGGAGTGTCATTTTTACGAGCTCTGAGCTGCAAACACAAGAAGAAAAAAAACCCAAGGCTGCTCCCGTTTGGAGCCACTGTCTCTAAAAACCAATCTTGCCTCGGGTCATGGAATAGCCCAACTTGGCCTCATTGTTGATGAAGGACATGATGCCCAGGTAGGTCTCGATGAGGAGGGGTCTCTCCAGAATCAGGACTCCGTTGGCCCGACCTGGGATGGGGTGCTCCTTTTGGGCTCTCTTCACCGCCTGCACCAGTTGGGTCCGAAAGTTGTCCAGCTGTACATACGAGCACAAATAAATACACAGGCAAACCACTGCGATTTGCCGTAAATAGCAAAAAAAAAAAAAAAACAACAACAAAACAAATTAAAAAAGCAACTAAATGAGATTACAGTGGTACCTAAATAGAAAATTTTGTAAGTAGAGACGCGTTTTCCATGTAAATGCCCTAATCCGTTCCAAGGCCCCCCAAAATTCAGACATAAATGTTTTCTAAAGCATAAAAATGCATCAAAATATGTAACAAATGCATGTTACAATTAGATTATTGCACAATAAATGAGAGTTGTGCACAATGTAAAAAACAAAAAACAGAGTAAAGAATGAAAATGGTGATCATTTAACTTTTAACTGCATCCTCGTCGTTTTTTTTTGTCCTCTTTTGTCCATTTTCTCTCTCAGAAGTGATTTTTGCCTGGCGTTTTGTAAAGAACTGATCCAAGGACGTTTGCTTTTGTCGGCAAACATCAGCATAGTGAGCGAGCGCCCGACTGGTGAACACTTTTTCTGGGTGATTCACATTTACATAAAACTACCGGAATGCCTCATGGCCCGAGAGGCGAATCACAAGGACGCTGCATAGACACCTTTCTTTGAACAAACAGCGAAATATTGAAACTGGTGAACAGTCAACTGCGTTAGGTTGCACTGTGACGTCATCCATCCAGCCATTTTCAACACCGATTATCCTGAACGGGAGAGTACGGCTTTTGTTATCATGACAACCAAGGCGGAGCTACGTGATGGCAACAAGGCTAGGGAGAGACTACCAGCCCAAAAGTTAATCCAATTAAATCCAGTCCAAAGGAATTACCTGGCAGAGGGAGGCCACCTTCTCGTCGGCGTGGGCCATGGGGTGCTCCGTGAAGGTGGCGTAGGGCATATCTGTGGACCACGGGTTCCAGCGGTTTAAGAAGGAGGCCCGGGGACGCTTGTCCCACTGGACACGAACCCCAACACCTTCTCTCCTGTAAAAAAAAACCCACGCAGACATCGGAATTGTAAATCCAGAGTCATCACTGAGCAAATTATTAGCCTTGTAATATAATTGCTCAAGTCATTTTTGAAGGTTTACAGAAAACAAGCGGAAAAAAAAAACACTCGCCATGAGTCCCCTGCTCAGTTTTTCAGATTTTGTTGTCTTGTTTCCGTAAAGCGGAGTCGATGTGATAATGCGAAGGTGCAGATTAAGTCTATCTTGTTTCTTGACATTTCTGTGCATTTTTTTTTCAAACTTCACTCACACTTGATTAAAATTTGCGAACAATTACGCGCCAATGGGGGCGGGGGGAACCCAGTATGAGGGTCACGCATGCCGGTAAAACGGAAAAGTTTGACCAAGGGTCAAATGAGCCATGCGTACTTGTTGAGGGATTTGGGCGGGAACTCAAACTCGCCCACTGAGATGGTGTCGACGGCGTTGAGCGAAATTCTCACGACCTGCTGACACAGCAAGTTGATGAAGTCGTACTTGCACACCAGCAAGGACCTGCACACGCAAAGAAAATCAACATTTGTTTAAAGGGCAACATAGGACGGTGGAAAAAAATATATATTTTTAAAAATACCACGGTTGGCTCCGGAGACTAACTGCGCACACATTAAATGTGAAATGAAACAAATGTGACTTGTTTACCTATTTCTGAAAAAAAGAAGGAATGCATCATTCAGTGGAAATGCAATGGAATGTGTCCTCGTTTTAAGCAAGATAAGAGTATTAACAGAGGTGGGCATTCCATCAGGACTGTCGTAAGGTTGTCATTTCAAATACACTATAACAAAGCAACTTCACCACAGCAAGAAATAGGCGTTAAAATGTCTCCAGTTCTTTATCCTTGAGGGATTTGAATAAAACCATGTCATAGATGTGTTTAAGACACCCGGGAAATGTTTTAAATCGTGGGGAAAAAAATACATGATGTCTTTTTAGACAAGAGACATGAAAGCTTATTGATATGTGCTTTTGGACAAACCTGTCTGTAATGAGGACAAGTCTCTCCTTCTCGTTATTCCAGTGGTCAATCCTGCACACATGATTGGCAGCCGAGTTTGACATGATGATGCACCACTTGACAAGACCAACAGCGACACACTTACCGGTCCTTACTTGTTCAAATGAAGGTAACAAACACAAGATACGGGTTTATATATATATATATATATATATATAAACCCGTATCTTGTGTTTGTTACCTTCATTTGAACAAGTAAGGACATATATATAAAATAGATGAACAAAGACACATTATTTGTGGTCAACGAAAAATGTTATTTTCCACAGCACACCTGATGTACACAATCATGACCTTATGACACACCAATGCGCCATTGAACAGTATTTGGGAATCATTGCTTTTATGCATTGTCAATGTACCTAATGAAGTGGCCGGAGTGTTTCAACCTCATTTTCCTCATTCATGCAAAACTGCATTGGTATTTCATCTGGAAATATTTAACATTTCAGCTTCTCGGGCATGAAACAAATGCTAAGGAAGATCTGGTTATGATGAAGACATGGTTCAAGATAAAAATGGGACTTACTGAGCCAGAAGCCAGACGCTGAGCACCTCGCCATCCTCAGATGGAAGAGCCACTGTCCGGATGTCGCTGACTGCCTGCTCGATGGTACCTGGCTGACATCAGCATGTAAAACATCGTGGGTCAGCCTCATCACCATTATCATCCCCCCTGACCCCCCCCCCCCCACACACACACACACACACACTTCTCTGCCTGAAAAACATACTGAACCACGAATTTGTCCTCAACTGATACTCCCTACCACTGACAGTGGGCTTTCATTGCCAATCAATCATGCCATAAACATCTTACACTCTCTTTATATTTCCAATCCAAGAGTAAAGGAGATCACGTCGTACCCGGAACACAAAGTAGTCCTTGACTTTGGCTTGCATGGTGGGGTTGTGCACGTGAAAAGGCGTCAGCGTTTGCAGCGGCCGGCAGCAGGCTGCTGAGGCTCCGTGTCCCAGGCTCCGCCCGGCCTCCGGCGGCGTGAAGGCGACCTCCACTCCTTCCTCGACCTCGGCCGGGTGGAGAACAGCGGCCCCGGGACTCTCAGGCTCCACCGTGTCGTTTAGCTGAAGCATGGCGGACTCGGAATTCCTCAACGGAAATGGGAAATGTTATTAGGTTAAAGCACACTCACCCATTGCGCACCAATATTGTTTTGATTGTGGAAGTGCTTGCTTCACTTCCGCCTTTAAACGTCATCTTAAAGGGCCAGTCGCAAGCCCCGCTTAGCCTTATTTGCACTCACTTCAAGGAAAACAGACACCGCACGGGGACCGCCTCGCGCGCTGACCGTTCAAATAAATGTCGCGCGCCTTCGAGAAAGTGACAAGCACCCTGAAGATGGCAACGAAAATAAAACTAACCTTAAGGAAAACCAGCACAAGATTTTACGATAAGAGATAAAAAGGTATTTCTATAATAATTCAGAGGGATTGTCCAACGCTGGTGCCATATTTATGAATAAAGTCCGGCGATATCCACCACACATGCCGAATCTGTCTGCCTGCGCCTCGATCAAATCCTGTAAAACAAAATTACCTTACACCAGTTGTGCCACACAATAGACCTCCTTTTAGATAGTATAAAATGTTGTCAACTTTTCGCAACCAAATTTGCAGATGTGCCGTAAGGTGTGCCAGGAACGCCCAAATTCACAAACAGGCTGAACTAGACCATTTCCCCAGCATGGAAATGACAATGCTGCCATTTTTACGCTAGTGCGTGCTACGTTCTGTTCACAAATTTTCGGATGAGTTGGGGGTGAGGCAGTTCTGTGTTCCGGAATGCCCAGAGGGGTACAATACATCCCTAAACTAGACGAGACATGCGCTGGCACCATGATGAAGTTACGCCCGGTTTGACACCACACACGTGGCCCCTAAAATACTGAAATTAAGATTTTTGACCGATGTAAACAGTTTCAACTCTAAACTCGTCAGCTAATTCCATCATAATTATTTTTCTAACTAACCCTGTAAAACAATATTCTGTTTTTCCTCTAAATTCAACATTTTTTTGACCGATTCTAACTGCTTGAACTTTTACGTTTTGCGCTCATGCCTACAACAATTTTTCACAATTCCAAAATTAAAGCCGCTTCTCACGATTTTACTTGCTTTACCTCTACTCTTCACCTTTGAACTGATTCAAACTACTCCAACTGGGAACTGTTTGGATCATTTCACCCAATTTCATTTTATTCCACACCTTGCCATATCATTCAGAATTATTCAACATCGTTCCTCATCATTCCATGCCTTGCTACATGGATCCATATGGTTCAATATCATTTAACATCATTCCATGTCATTCAAAACCATTCAACATTTCCCTATTTTTTCATTCAGGGTGTCAGCAGCTTCTCCAGAATTTGCATTCTCGATTGATGTCTTAGTGATCCTACTTGCAATAGTCACATCCTTTCAAGCACCATGTGACCGTTGCAGCCAGCAAGTAAATGTACTTTATTTAATTTCCATGTCAAAATACTAAATTATCAAGATGGGATCCTAATAATGGTCATGAGTACAACTGTGTGTGGGGTCAACGATTTTTGCATCAGGTCAAGTATGAATGAATAGTCTATAGTGCGCTGTCAATCAAGTCTTATATGAGTCAAATTTGATGCTTTGAGAGTCCATAGGCAGGCTTGAAAAATGACTGGTTGTTTTTTCAGCAATGAAGTGCATATGCTGGACGTTTGATTACTCATTAAAAAAAAGTCCAACATATTATGGGAAACAAGCAAGAGTGAAATGCTTGAAACAATGTTCTTCTTGTTTTCTTCTTCTTCTCCTTTCGGCACGTCCCTATTCAGGGGTCACCACAGCGAGTCAGTAATTTCCATCCGCCCCTGTAAACCGTCCTACCAACTCGCATGGTCGTCTTGGCAAAAGTTTTACGCCGGATGCCATTCCTGACGCAACCCTCCCCATTTCTCCGGGCTTGGGACCGGCACTGGGGAACAGTGCACCTCCAGGGGAGGGCACTGCCCCCAAGCGGCTGGGTTTATGTTCTTCTTGTTTTACACCCGGGAAAAGAAATGAAGTGGCTGAAATTCCATTTAAAAAGCACACAGGTTTTATTGCATATCAATTTCATGTATAAATTCTTCATAACATTGGAAAGATTACATTTGGTATACATTGCTATTCTACAGAATTAACATCAGTCATGTCTTTTCAATGAAATTTCTCTAAAGTACATCTTCAATAATCACAAGCATCAAAAGAATTCAATTTCAGAATTGTTCAATATTATTCTACAATCCTTTGTTGTTGTTTTTTTCATTACGTCTTCTCCCACAAGTCTTTTTTTCATTTCTTTAAGAGCCACTTGCCCCAATGTGTAAGGCAGTCAAGAACTTGAAGTCAAACCTACTAAACCTAACCACATTTACAATAAGTGCATCTACGAATTTCTTTTTTTTTTATTTCTATTTTTTTTGTTGTTGTTTTGATTTGATACACAATTCACAAATGGACATAATTATGACTGCTAAACACGTCATGCACAATATTGTTTTTTTTTTTCCTTGTTGTCAGTTTTCAATAAACATAACATAGGCGGTATACAACTCAGATCCAAACAAAACAAGCACCATCCATTTAAAACCATATTTTTCCATTATTTTTTTTTTCCTTCCTTCGGACAAATGCACCATTGTTGTTCCATCTTTAAAATACTATACAGTTAATAAGAAACAATATCTTTTTTTTTTTGTCTCCTGTAACAGTGAGGGGGGTGGGGGGAGTCAGCAACCGTGTTCCAATATCTTGACGGCCATCTGCCAGAATAATTTCTGAAGTGGGAACAATGGAATGCTTCAATGCCTTCAATGCCTTTACACAGCGCATTCTTATTACAGTAGTCCATGACTTGACATGAATCACTACATCGAGACGACCCACATCTTTACATTTTATAAAGGTAAATAAATGAAGCGATTTATCAAACAAGAAAGAGAGAGATTTGTATCATTAGAAAAAAAAAATGAGATGACGCAGCAGTCCTTGTGTCGCCAGAGAAAAGCACAGTGTTCCTTTCCTTCCTGTCGGGAGTTGTAAGTCGTCGAGACCTAAGCCTGATCGATGTATGGCTTGGACCCATGTGGTTTCATTAAGTGCTAGCTTGAAAAATACAGCATTAGGCCGAGATGTCTATCTACAGCTATCTACAGTTCAAAAGAAGTCATGCCCTCCTGCTACTTTGTAGACTACATGGAATGAGTTTGACGTCACAAGAAGAAAAAGAGAATATCCGGTATGGCCACCGTTGCTTAAAACACAATTTTTTTTTTTTTTTAATGCATGAAGGACCAACCATCAGAATGCTACTGCCAGTTGTGGCGGTGACTTTCTTTCTTTTGCTTTCGTGGGTCCTCGTCCCCCAATGAGGTTGGACAAATGCTTCAGGCCTGCCTGCCAGATTCTACTCGTATTATAATGTGTGGTTGTTTAATGTCATTTTGTGACACTAACAGTGAAGGCTCTCCCCGTAATAATACTTTTGACAGGTGAAATGGGACGGAAGCAAGAGGCAAAATAAAGATGGCAGGACATTACAGTGCCACTAAAACTACAACTATCTTTCCACTATAAATAAAACAACATTTCAAGGATTGTTTCCAATATGGCACACCGAAGCCGGAGATTCTCAATCTCTCACCGGTGTTTATTCCTTCAGCAACAAAAGGAAGAAAGAAGAGAGTGGACTTTTTCTTATTCTCACACCCACCACCCCATACAGAATGAGCGAACAAGCAAAAAATAAATACATACACACACACGCTTCTGAAATCAAAAATATATTGGAGCAAAATGGAAATGAAATGATTGTCAGAGAACAAAACATTTTCTACGGGTTATTTGGCACATGTCACCCTTCCTATATGAACATCTAGGTTATTTTGTACACCGTGTGACATTATCATACAATTTTGGTCCTTCTCTAAAATAATTATATTAATAATTTAGCGCGGTGGTGCCTACAACAAAACAATACTGTGGTATCTAAGAGAAGAAAAAAAAAAAACAAAGTAAGCAAACAACATTTAAGAGTGACATGAAATGATGTGTGATTTTGAACAATCACCAGCACGATCAAGTTGGGAAATAAACACTAAAATCACCATTTGCTGTGCACACGAGAATCAGATTGAGAGTAATAAACCTCAATTTCCACACTCACATTCTGTGTTGTGTTGCCGTTTGATTCTGCAGTCGGCGACTCGCGATCTGTTTTGGGGTTTCATCCGGAGGTCAAAGTGTCAGTCTGTGAGAAACAGCACCCCCTTGTGGACATTCAGTCTTAATGCTGCAGTGCGACTTTTTTTTTTCCTTCTTCTGTTTCTTCTTCCAGGCATCCTACACATAGCCTTTCGTGACATACAAGTCATTGAAGTGTCTACAGAGCGTCGACGTCAGCTCTGTGCTGTGGCTAGGTGAGACGGAGCACACTTAAGGGGGATGATCGGCAAAGATTCAATGCTGTCGAAAAGAATTCGTCGTGTATGTCCTTCACATCAACAGGAACTTAGCAGTGCTTTCTTATAGAGTCTCTACACCTCTCGCTCTCGCGCAAGCTCTCTTTCACACACACGCACACACACACCCACACACACACACATACACACACTGAATGCACGTGACACTGAATTCTCCGTTCTTCATGCCGACTTGTGTCCACTCCACTTGTGTGTCTCTACTCTACGCAAGGTACTGTTCCTCCCTCTTTCCACCACACCGACCTCCTTTCCATTTCTCTCTTGTCTAGATGTGGTTGAGCGGGTGAAAGCTACTTGTCTCGGACGATCCGCCTCCCATGCTCAGCCAAGCATCCAGAGAGTTCTGAGAGGGCGTGTGCAAAGGGTTGTTGTCGGAGAGAGACAGCATCATTGCATAAGCCTGCAAGAGAGCACAAGTACATTTCCAGAAAGTTCAATTGAGGCAAATTCAGCTTTTATTTATTCACAGCTTTCACGATCAACAGTTTTGTATTTTTTTTTCATCATGATAATATGGTGGTGCCTTAAAGGTGGAGTTTACAGTGATTAAAAAAAAACCAAAAACACTTTTTGTCAAAAGAGACCTGACAGTGAACTGGAAAGCTCGCTGGGGTTTGCGACTTGGACTGCTGCATACAGCTGGAACCACAAGCACTGACGTGAACTGTTCCCATTGGGTCATCAGATCAGTTGATCGCCTCTCATGTTTTAATTGATTGTATGTTAAAAAAACAAAACAAAACATCAAACCATTTCGTTTTTGGAAAAACTAATGAATAAGTCATGCTAGCAATGTACTGTAGCTGCCTTATTAGTGTGTCACTGCAGTGCACACGCGTTTCTTTGGGCAGAGATGTGAGATGCGGGAGGGAAGAATGAATTGAGGCTACTTTCAAATCTCGCGAGCACCTTTAAAACACCTTCTCCAACTTTAACTTAGGAGTTGAAATTGTTCTTTGACCGCAACACAAAGCAAAAAAAACAAAAACACAACAACAAAAAAAAACATCCAACAAGCAACAGCTTGCAACAAATGAAAACCGTTTTTCCTTTTATGTTTTCAGGGGCCCTCCTGATTGATATTGTGCAAAATTTCATCAAAGTCTTTAAAGGGGTAGTCAACCCAATAATGATCTTTCCAGTAATATGTTCCTCCACTTGTCTAAACATGGCAATCTGATTAATATTGCATTTGTCGAATATCAGTTAAGCAGCAAAATCCACCCATATTTTGCCATTTCAGAGGGCAGCCATTTTGGCACTTTCTGTCAAGTGAAAATGACATCCGACTTGCTCAGGCCTCAGGTAACGACCAATCACGGCTCACCTGTTTCCTGAACCATGATTGTTCGTTCCCAAAGCCCTGAGAAACTCTCATGTCATTTTCATTTGACAGAAAGTGGCAAAATGGCTGACCCCTGAAATGGCTAAAAATGGATGGATTTTGCTGCTTAATTCATATTTTGCCAACGTAATGTTAATCAGAATACTGTGGCTCAACTAGTGGCAGTGCATAGAACATATTATGGTCAAGAAAATTTTGGGGTTGAGTTCCCCTTTAAAAAAACACTTGAATAGGCAGACTGAAGTTGGAACATCCATGCAGTTAAACTCAGTTAGCAAAAAAAACAAACAAAAACAAAACACCATGCAGACCATGTGTTATACAGGCATGAGGCTGTGTGTGTGTGTGTGTGTGTGTGTGTGTGTGTGTGTGTGTGTGTTTGACAAAAAGTGATGCTTTTTAATTCACGTTGTTAAGAACTCACAGTGGAACCTCCGACGGGGAATAAAGTTAGTTTAAAACTGAACAAAAGTCACACAAAAATTCAGCTCCCACAGAGAGAAAAAATAATAATAATCGCAAAGTAGAATAAGTATGATTGTTCCAGGGGTCATCTTTTCTTGGATGACAGTTAAGAATGTGAAAGTGGAACTTAACTCTTTGTATTTGTATTTTTTTTTCCCATTTCCATGATGGCTGAGAATGTCAATATGTTAACTTAAAAAAAAACAAAAACAATATAGTTAATAATATTTTTAATATACAGTCGCAGCCATGGAGCAGATTAATTCCATTTCCTTGACTAATTAAAACTAATGAGAGTTTGCCCGCATCCTGGAACAGATTGCGTTCGACCTCAGAGGTTCCACCGCAGTTTACGTATTGTGTCTTGGATTCACATACCTGGGTTTTAGCCTGCCTGTACAACGTCTCTTTCAAAGTCTCCGACTCTAGCGAGGTGTTAAATATGTCTTTAACGTCAAAATGTTGCTCATCGCCGGCTGCTTTACGTAAGCCATCCAGGCCCTTGGGAAAGCTGGATAGACCTTCGAGGTCCAGGAGGGAGCCCTCCTCCTCTAAACATCTGCACGCCGGGGGGGTTGAGGTGGCCCAGATGTGGATGGGTGGATCGATGTGATCGGTCAATGGATTGAGAAGTGGAATGCGAGTGGAAAATGGATGTCGGGAGGAAAATGGTTGAGGATGTTTAGTTGAATGAAGGGAAGAGAAAAAGACAGGACTAATTAATCAGAAGCGAGAAAGGGAGACAAGAAGAAGAGTCACGTGCTTTCTGGAAGGTGGCCAGACACCCTGGACCGGTCGCTAGCCAATTGAAGGGCACATGCTGCAGACCTTGACCATTTATACTGTACTTGTGCCATTTTTTGGATACATTTTTAGTGGGTTTTTTTTTTTTTTTTTTAAATCAATCTGACGAGTGGAGAACAGACACATGCCCAATTTACTGCAAAGGCTAAAATCTCACAAAGATGAAATATCTCAAATGAAGGCAAAATATGCTTGTTCATTATGAGCCAAGATATTTTTTATTAGCAGACACTTTTTGTGTAGGGAGCATTTTGCTAGCTTTTAGCATTTTCCCCCCTTAAAAATCTTCAGTTCTTGTTGCCAATGATTAAGTTTACATTAAAATAAGAAACACCATAATTAGATATGTGTAGGTTGTACAAAACACTTTTAGGACTGGAATGTTAGATTTTGTTGCTGCCTTTTTTTTTTTTTTTGCAAAAAAAATTGCAAAAGCCCGCTTTAAATCAATTGATATATTCCTAATGTCATAACTTTTCGTCTTGTCTTCGAAAGCCTACATTCAATGGTGTTATATTATTATGCTACCATGTTGGGGATTAGTATTTGTGTTATTAGCAAAGACTGTCGAGCAGCTGCGGTTTGTTACTATACGACCCCTTTTCCACACCAAAACACTTTGTGCTCGTTCGGCGCCAGGGCCAGTGCCGTGCTTAGTTGGTGCTTAACAAGTTCTTACAAAGAACGTGCTTGGTTTTCCACCGGCAAAGAGCCAAGTCGGAGCTACGTCATTACGTCATCGTAAAGCGTCGACGTTTGTCCAAGAGCGCCCGCGCTATAAATAAATGCACAACTGTGTCGGAATTCACCGCTCAGCCGTTTGCGCAAAACCTCCGTGTGTCTGAGGAGTCGTTCCTCGACATCTGCGATCGTCATGATAACCCCGCCCCCTACCCCCGGACGTAGTTGGTGCCACAGTCTGGCCGGACTAATAATTGGCGGCCAGGTTCAGCACCAGAGCTAGAGCTCGAGCCAAGTTCGGTGGTGGAAAAAGAAAGAACGGGTGCTAAGCTCTGCACTGGCCCGCAAGTGGCACGAGGCACAAGGGCGGTGGAAAAGGGCCACAAATTGCTAACAGTAGCGAGTAAAATGAAACGGGTACCTGCGAGAGTGTTCGTGGCTCATCGATAACGGAGTAGTCTCTTCCTCGTCCTCCTCTTCTTCATAAGCGCGGGTCGCAACTGGAGACAGGGATTCCGGAGCCTCATCATGAGACTTTTCTGTCAGGCTGCCTTCCTCTTCCTCCTCATCGTCCCCCTCCGCTTCCTCTTCCTCCTCGTCCAGCCCCTGGAGGGCCAGCTTGGAGTTGGACAACCTGCGGCCACTCGGGTGCTCCTCCTCAACCGGGTCGGATCTGCATGCGTCAAAAGGAGGAAGCGTTTGATATGTTGCCAGCTGTTTTAGTGGTCATTGTTCCAGCTTTCCTCTCATATTTGGGAACATTTTAGCTCAAGAAGAAGAAAAAAAAAATGGTTCTCCACTGAATGCTGCTGTTCTTGATGCAGATGACATGCACCATGGCTAAATGTGGGCTGTTGGATTTTTTTTGGGGTAAAAATTTTACAATGAAAGGAATTAGAAGGGATTGTTCTAACATAAAACGCTGCTTTAACGTATTTTGAACAGTGATACCCAACCAGTGTGCCGGGGCACATTAGTGTGTGGTGAGAGCCGCGGGAAATGATCAAATTTTACTTAATTGGTGAGAAAATTATTTATTAATAGCAAATCATGTATCTTTGGCCATCTATCTATGCCAGCAACCTATAGTGACAGATAGAACAAATAAATTATCTTCTAATAGATGGCAAAAAGTATGAAATTGACATATGTATCGTCTTTTTGTGAGAATTTTGTTTGGTGCCGATTTTTCGAACTTGAAAAATGTGCCATAGCTCAATAAAGATTGGGAATCACTGATTTAGAAGAAGTGGCAAGAGTGACTCGGTAAAAAGTACACAAGAAGGAGCACACAAGAAATTGATGCAGAAGACAGACTTTGACTGAAAGGGGTGACACGCCATGGCGGCCGCTGACAGGACAAGCCAAAGGGAAAAGAAGCACGAAGGAAATTTATTTGACACGATGAATTGGATGCACCCTTGGAAAAGAAACAGGCGATGCACCGTTTGCTTTAGTTTGCAGTAGTAGAACAATCCAGTATATTATATGAGAATAAAAGAAGACTATAGCCGATCAGCTCGCCGCTTTTCTGACCTGCCATCTGTACAATCTCCAGCCAGAACCCCAGCTGCCCCGTTCATCGGCCCCAGACATGACATTGCTCATGATATCATTTCCTGTGGGACTGCAAAGTTACCCTTTCCTTTTTTGCCGCACCGTGGACATTTATCAAATCAGACAGGATTACCTCTGGGGAGGCGTACACGGGGATAGGATTGGGTCATATGCTGCGGGTGGGTAAACATGGCGAGTTGGACTCCTCTTTCTATCTACATTAAATATCACTATAATCAAATTGCCAGGCTGTTTAGCTGGGAAAAAGTCCATGCCTGCGTGCAGGGAAAGAAGCGTAGCTCTGACATAGGGGGGCCCTGCGTTTTGTCATTTAGTCTAAACACATCAGTGGGTTGTTTGGGTTAGCGGGCGGGGGGGTATGGGTACAGGGGATGGACAAGGGGGTTGAAGAGCTCCATCATCCGTGGATCTCCTGGATAAATGCCTCAACCTGAGGCCTCCCGTTATGGTCCCGATTGCCAGACCCGAGTCCATTGCAGGAGCAGCTCAAAGCTTTTATTCTCTCCTGTTCCATCTCAACACTGCATGGATGCAAATAGTCAAATAATTTGCTGTCTGAGAGTACCGAAGCTGACTCGGCATCTCTTATCCGGGAGAGTGGTAGCTATTTTTGTTGAAAATTCAAAGCTGTGCCATGACTTGTACGGTATGTATTACTGAGCCGAAACTCGGTCGCAAGGGCAGTTAGGAGCGATTATAGATAGTCATGCATGAGCGTGTGTTTGGCGCTTGGCTTCAGTCACTCAGAGGGGAAAATAAACACAGAGCTGTCTGGTGGGCGGACGGAAAGCACAACACTTAGTCTGAATTACTGATATTAAAACGTCAGGTCGTCTTGTTGTGGATGAGACTCTGTATTGATCCCAGATGGCAGCCAAGCTAAACTAACTGCCACAGAGTCTGCTGGCCCAAAAGTGTGTTGACAAGAGGAAAGGGATGACGACGGAGGGATGGACTGTGAGACCGTATAAGAAAAAAAAAAAAGAAGGAACTTTTTTTTTTTTTTTGTCAGAGAGGGTTTAAAAAGTTCAGAGTTTCCAGATGACAACGTTGTTTAAATGAACTCGTTCTCAACAAAATGACTGAAATAGCTGTCATGTGCGTACCAGGCCAGTAGTTAGCATGTCACTTTGGGAAGAAACACGATGAACCTTCACACTAATTGCTTGTCCTCCTGGATAAAACCGTTTCTTGACGGGATATCACCAACATTGGTAATATGTGAATTAAGAGGAAGGACATAATACGACTCCACTGGACACAGTAGCGACTCAGCAAATGTACACTTCAATGAAGAATCGCTACTAGCATAAATGCTACAAGATCACTGTGTTTCTTTTTATTTTTTATCGTATTCGGGCATTATCACTTTTCAAACAACAGAACCGTCTTTTTATCCTCTTTCCATTAAAAATGGTCTCGTTCAAAATGAATCAAGCCTGAAAAGTTCTTTATTCTTCGAGTGAATGTTTCGGTAGCCTTGGCTTGTGGGTAATAAACTTGTGCAGTGTCAGTTGGAAAAACAAAAAAAATAAACAACAATACGAAAATCCCACAGGTTGAGCGGGCAAAATATTTTTTTCTAATCAACTCAGAGCTATTATCATGCTTAGCTTGACATTATAATATGCCTTCAGTGATTTTACCTTGCCTCGGTGTTACCTTGGCTCAAATATTCGCGTTAATTAAAATACACCGACAGCATTGTTTGCACTTATTCTTGTTGCCATTCAACTTTGACACGCTAGAGGGCACTGTGCATTAAGCAGTCACCGCACGTGAGCGTGGATGGCCAGAAAAGTCAAAGAGAGGAGGAGTACATGCCCTGATATAAAAGGGATGGAGTCATGGGACTGTTTTGAATTGAATACGTTGCTGGTTCTTTCAGCATTCATTTCATATTTATTTACATACTTTATTATCCGTGGTTTTCAGTGGTGGAAAACTTGGCTGCATTTATTGACATAGTGCAGTCAACTACAACCACAACAATAATCAGTCGACTGGTGACGAGTACTTGACACGAGTCGCACAATTTCCCAGCACAATATTTTCTGCATGATTATGATTGTTTGTTTTTTTTTTTTTTTAATTACCTTTTGTCCGTGGAGCTGGAGGCCTGGTTCATCTCACTGTTGGAGATGAAGTTTCGGATTTCTGAGAAGTACGAGTCCTCCTTCTCATCTAAAAGTGCATGATTGTCCGGCTCGGAGTTTGGCGAGGAGATGGTGGTTCCTAAGTTGGAAAGCATCCCAGACTGTTGGCTCACTGGTGGGGGAAAGCGTGCAGACAAACACATCCGCGCACGTTAATGCGCACACAGCTAGACAGCGTATGTTTAGTTTCATAATTATTAGACATCTGGTATGTTACATAGAAGGGAGAATGTATGAATATGAATATTATGAGGGCTATAATCAGGGTTACGATAGGAAGTCATCTTCCCATCCCATCAGCAAAGATTTCAAACTTGGAGCACTACGCAATTTCTGTATAAATTGCATGTTCAGTCAATCATGAATACATTTTTTAAAAATCCGCCTGTTGATGTCACAGCCATTTACAAGATTTTGATGAGAAGAATAAAATGACACATTCTGACCATTTCTTGAGGCTTTACGAACTGGTTTGGAAATATTAACCAAACAGTGCCGTAAACTAAAAAAACTATTCAAAGACTTATTCATTTTAAAATGGCTTTGGAGTGACAACCTGAGTGGATGACTTCCATGCTGAGTGTCGAGAGGCTGTTTTTGGCAAATCATATGGAGAAGTAATTGCGAACTCTTGAATGAAGTGGCTTTCCCATTTTGCGTGTTATGTTTATTTGCTTTCAAGTCATTAAACATTTTATTAAGGGTAAGATTTAACATTTTCCAAATGGCTAATGTGTACCGTTCATCAGTCAGCCCGTTAACAAGGCAAGCGAAATAACTCCAATGAAGTCTCTATTAAGAGGGAGCCCTACCAGGAATGTTCTCGTGCTCGTGCTTCTTGAGATGGCGGTCGAGGTTGGTTTGCTGACCGAAACAGCGGTTGCACAGGTGACACTTGAAGGGTTTCTCCTTGTTGTGGATGTTGCGAACGTGGCGTTGCAGGTTGGACGAGATGCTGAACGAGCGGTCACAGTACTTACACCTGCCGGGGCGCACAGGACGACCAGGGTGAAAACCTACAACACTGCTCATCAAACAGTATCTCTGCGGTTGCAACATGGACATGACAAAATCTAATGATGATACAGTGGTGCCTTGAGATGTGAGTTGAATTTATTCTGTGACCGCTTTCGTAACTCAGAACACTTGTCTCTTATATATTTCCCCACTGAAATAAATGAAGACACCATTAATCCGTTCCAGGTCCCGCCGCCCCAAAAATGGGGAGTAATGTGATTTTAATAAGATAGCACTCTATAACGTTATAAAACCAACGAGTACAGTAATCACATCAATAAATAGAATAGAAAGAATTAACAATTTTGAAACATGTTTTGCTTCAATCACTGGCCATTGTGCTGCTCCTTCTGTTGGTACAATACATACAATTGGATATACACGGAGAAGGAGGGTCAGTAAGGTGGAGTAATATTAGTTATATATTATCTGTCTTCATGTGTTGCCCCACTGTTTGTGTTCAAATGCCCATTGCTTAAAGCAGAGGTGTTAAACTCATGTTTTGTCGAGGGCCGCTTTGGATTTATGTCTTCCCTTGGAGGGGCATTGCGACAGTGAAACCGAATAAATGTCTGATCATCTCATCGAATTATTATTGGACAAAAAATCCCCCTGATGGATTACGAGTTTTGAAATCAGTCAATTATTTGTTTGTTGTTTGTTCAATTATTCTTTAAGTGAGTGCAAACAGGGTAACAAAATTATTGCAAAATGTGAATGCTATTCATCACACATGACAATTTGACATTTTAGTACAGATTTTAGCAAGGATCATGGAAGTTAGCACGCATGGTTTGCATTCGCGGGCCATATAAAATGACGCGGTGAGCCGGCTCGGGCCCCTGGGCCTTTAGTTTGACACCTGTGGTTTAAAGGGTAATAAAACCGAGACACTAATTGCATTGCATTCGCCCATCTATGGCATTTCTGATGATTTGTTTATGCCAAGCTAAACAGAATTTTTGAGCACATAGCCAAGTTATTATTTGAAATAGACAAAATGTTTCGAAAGTATAATAAATCATGTAATGAAAATCCATTTGAGAAAAAGAGAGATGGAGAAAGGACAAGAACTGAAGAAACAACAAGACTGCAGAGTCCGCTAGCATTTAGCAAAGCTCAGGGATGGGAGGGAACTCCTATCTACCTGTGACCTAATATTTTAGCCTACAATGGGTTTGAAACCTTCAACCTTTCAGTCCCCAAACTTTCTAGAGCGAGTGACTCATTTACATCCCGCACATGACAAACCACAAATAAGAACACATGAACTCAAAATACCTGTAAGGCTGTTCGCCTGTGTGTGTTCGCAAGTGTCTGGTGAGGTTTGCCGAGCGGGGGAAGATTTTCCCACAGTACCTTCGTGGGAGAATGCAGAGAAAAGCAGGAAGGGGAAAGAGTAACAGACAAAAATGTTTATTTGACCATCCTTTGAAAAGAAAAAAAAAAAGTCATAAGCAACATGTGGCACCACAGGGCACTGACCTGCAGGCGTAGCGTTCCTTGCCCTTGCGGAGGATGGCATCCGAGAGCGAAGGAGGAGGCGAGCGGAAGCTGAAGAGCGGGTGAGCCGAATGTTGCAGTGAATTGGGCGGCATGTCCAGTTTGAGTGCACCAAAGCTTTCCAGTTTTTCTGTCATGTTCTCCATAGCGGACATCTAAAGGGACGAGATGGGGACGCTCTATTTAGAGAGATCAATTCATCCCATTGCTTGTGTGTGTTGAAAGGAAGATGGAATGAATAAAAACAGGGCCAAAAAGATATGAACGGAGGGAATGTGAGCTGCTTCCTTTACCAATGGCGCTTGTCAAAAGTACACCCCCCCACAAGCTACCCTCTCCTCTTCAGTCAGGCCAACAAGATGGCTAAATAAGACACTCAAGAGTTCCGTAGGGTGCTGCACAATATAGTTTGAGATAACCCCAACTGATTGCTGAGGCCCTCCCCTGAGAAACTTGTGAACAAAAGGGAGGTGGAGGGGGGTGGGAGGTAGTTATGTAGGAGTTTATTTGCCAAAAACAGCTTATATCCTTCCTTCTTTTAGTGAATACGAGACGGGAGAGACACAGGGACAGACACTCCGTCGCAATGTGTTTATTCGCAGTCTGAGAACAAGCAAAAGGGCGGGTGGGGGTGGAGGGGGTGGGGGGGAGACTAATTTTGTCATAAGACTGAATTAGAGGTGGTATTGTTTTGGGATCACTGGAACGCTTACGTGCTTAGACATACTAAGATGACGAGGTTTGACTCGGTGTTCTGAGAAAACTGATTGTGGAACCCAGAGTGCTATATCGCAGGACAAGATGCACTGGATTATGAGGCGCACTTTCAATGAATGGCCGATTTTGTAATTTTTTTCATACATTGGGCACAATCTACAATGCATCCACTAGACGGAGCTACGCTCAAGGAAACACCAACAGAACGATCAGATGTCAGTTAAACGTATTTAATAAAGCAGCGACACAGTTCCCTTAACCAACAGCAAGTTATACCATTGACTCGTTAACTCTCTTGCCGCTGCTATATTTCCGTGTTCAACTGCGTAACCCAATCGCCATAAGTTTGAACTCTGCGTTGTCAGCATGTCCCGAGCAAGGAGCCATTTTGGGGTCATACACAAGGCGCATCGGATTTTAAGGCGCGCTGTGAGCTTTTAAGAAAATGGAAGGCTTTTAGGTGCGCCTTTTAGTGCGGAAAATAGGGTAAGCTTTTATCTGATTTTTGAGGCAGGTTGGCGGACAACTGCTTTGCACGTCCGCCTAATAGTTCTGAGGTTTTAGGGTTCGAATCTTGGCTCTGGATGTCCTGTGTGGAGTGTGCAGGTTCTTCCCGTGTTTGCATTGGGGTTCGCCTGGTACTCTGTTTTCCTCCCACATTCCAAAAACAAGCATGCTAGGCTCATTGAAGACTTGAAAGGGTGGCTGATGACCAGCCCATGGTTTGTTGTGCTTCTCATCCAAAGTCAGCTGGGATGGAATTATTTGCTCAATTACCTACTGTATACCACTAGTAGTTGGTGTTCAGAAAAAAAATCGAGGGAAGATCAATTTTTTTTTACGTTAACGTGCTGGTTATTGTACATTTCAATGGACTTCAGTTGTGGTACCACTCAAAGAACGAAGAACCAATCAAAAGTACAAAAAAAGAAAATTATATATCCACATCTGCTCCAGACGTGTGTATTGCAAAATCACAATTGATAGAGGACACAGATTTCCAGGTCAGATTTTAAGCAGTTTCCCCTAACAAGAGCCCCTCATTCTCCTGGACACAAACACAGGATGTCCTTGATGGACACGGTGCTATTATCTAGCCAGCCAGTCCACAACATCGAAAAAAAAAAAGAACAACTCGGAGGGACTGTAGCTTATGAGCCGGCCTGTGGGCTCCCGCCACCTGAAACAATGCCATGGCTAAGATTAGTGAGGATACCATTCAAATGCTTACTATTCATTACAAAAAAAAAATATTAATACTATCATTCTTTGCAATCAAGATTTGTACAGGCAGCGAGGGTCTGGGGACAGTCGAACAATGTGAGCGATTATCAAAGAGGCCACAATAACAGGCCGCGTCTTCTGAAAAAAGGTAGAAGTGACGAAGTACACAGGCGCCAGTCAATAAACAAAGGAAGAAGTCATACAAGCCCTTGAGAACATAACATCAGCAGTGAGGAATGACGGCGCAGCGAGCCGACATCAGTTCAGGTTGGAGCAGCGTGGGAGGGAGAAGAGACGGATATTCACACGGCGTGCGTTTCGGAGATACTTATGGTCATTGACCGCATCTGGTAATCATCGGCAAAACCTCATAGATGGTACCCGCTACTTCAGAGTAGCACCTGCATTACTTATCATACCTATTCCGACACGTGAGTGTAGTTTTAATGTCGGACTACCTGCGGATGAAAAAGCTGTGGCGAAGGCCTGAGGAACTTCTCCTTCAGAGCTCCCACAGGGTCAAGTAGCTTCCTTTTCTCCACCCTGCTGGACCAACAACAAGGCAGAGGGTTACGTACCAAGGTCAGGGATCATCTGGAACATCCAATCCATGACTCCGACAATGTTTGACGTCGCACTGGTCTCAGTAACACTTGGTGGTCTAATCGGGTAAGAAATACCTGTATATTGGGTCCATGAAGAAGGCGGAAGGTTTGGCGTAGTGCAGAGGAGGCGGTTGGTGTGACTGTGGCTGGTGGTGCGGCGCAATTGGGGATTGGTGCAGGGACTGGGAGTGAGGAATCGGAAAATTGGGAGTTTCGTCCTTGATGGACACCCCCTTTCCTATTCCGTAGATGTGGTTCTTTTGATTCTGCGCTTCGGCTGCCATACCGTTGTGACCTCCTCGGCTTCTGTTGTTAATACTGAGGTCCAACGGTTGTTCCTCACCGCTCGATATGACCGAAGAGCCCCTGCTACTCCCCGTATTCGTGTTTGGGTTTGAGGGATTCGTTGGAGCTGGAGGCGATGACTTGGTCTCCTTGGGCTTCGTACTGAGATCAAACGGTGATTCTGCAGCGGGGACAGGCGTGCCGAGTGCACCAGAAACCATCTTGTGGAGATGCTCGCGAGGTGACTTGAGCTCTTCCTTGAAGAAGAGGCCAGAGTTGAGGGCGCTTCGTTCAGTGCTAAAGGGGTACAAGGAGTTGTGGAAATTGGGTAAGAACTGGAAGGGAAACATGGAGTGGTAGGGCAATGGACCCATCTTCTTCTCTTGATGGAGACCTATCAAACCCGGACCGAAATATTTCTCGGCAATCGAAGCAATGGCTTTGATGGAATCAGTGGTGGCCGCGTTAGCGTTTGTGGCGGTGGGTGGAAGTGCTTGCTCATCAGGCGGAGGGAAGAAAGAGGGCTGTGTCGACACCGAAGACAAAAAAGGACGCTCAATGGAGAGGTTGTCTGAATTGGACACCGCCGGAGTCACCGCACTGTTTGCGTCCTCTAACTGATGACCGTCATGGCGCGATAGGACCGCAGGTGGCTTTCTCCTTTTGCCATTGTGCTCGCGTTCGCTATCGCCGTCGCTCTCCAGGTCAGAACCATCACCCGAGGCCGTACCGGTCGTGGTGTCCAAATCTGTCCCGCTTGTGGTGTTAACATCTTCCAGGTCGCTGCCATCTGAAATGTCTGCCATCTTCGATTTAGTTTTTACCTCTCCACCGGATGACAAATCCAGTTTGGTCTCGGTATCTTTGTCCTCGGGCAGACTTAAACCGTTACCTCCATTACTGTTTGTTGAGCTCAAGAAAGACAGCGGAGGGACATCAAGAGGACTCTGAGGCAGTTTGACTTCTTGAGTGCTGTTGCTAGGGGCCGTCTTCATCATCGGACTCGCCGGCAATAGCTGCGGTCGTGGATACAACGACGGAGGAAAGATGCCTGGGAAACCATGCGGGAGCGACGGGAAACCGTGGGGTCCTGGGGAGAACGGCAAGCCGGCATGAGGGTGAGGTCTGGATGGAAAGTAGTCTGTGAAGCCTAAACCTGACTGGTTCAGACCAGGGAGGTGAGGGTGGTGGGACTTGGCCTTGGCCATAATCGGACTGGAGCTCATGGGAATACCGGGATTGAACATTGCTGTCGGAGAGCCGTAATGGTTCTTGCCCTCGCAGAAGCGGCGGTGCTTATTTAGGGAGGAGGTAGTGCTGAACAACTGGCCGCAGTCCTTACACTTGATCTGAGTGCGGCAGTCGGCGTGCATACGCTTGTGGCGGCAGAGGTTGGAGAACTGGGTGTAGGATTTGTGGCACACCTCACCTGAGGGTACGAGAAGACACAGCCCATCAGGGCCTGGTTAAACCCTTTTTAACACTGTCTCTAACTGCGTAAACCAAATTAAACACGACACACACACACACAAGCACGCCATGTGATTGGAAATCTGGGGTGAAAAGCGAAAGGCAAAAGACTTGTTGATGACACAGCAAGTAAAGTCTGGCATAGGGAAAACTTAGTCCATCGCAGTTTGTTTTATCTGTTTCAATACAAAAGAAGGACACAAATATCAACTTTGGACTGGTGCGTTTGCTTCCGAAGACTCATACGAGATGGAAAATTTCTTTTTAAACAAAAGCCTCCTAGAAAAGTAAAAGTATCAAAATCATCAAATACAGAGACGACAGACCTCAAAGTCAAAAGCAGACAGGACTCTCACTTACAGATAAAAGGTTTGACACTGCTGTGGATGTGCTTATGCTGTTTGAGGCCTGACGAAGTGGCAAAGGTTTTGCCACACTCGGGGCAAGTGTGAGCTCGTGCCCCCACGTGTTGCGAGCGGATGTGACGCTGTAGATTGCTGGGATCTGTGAAGACCTGTCGCGCACAAAAATTGATACAAACACAATGTTCAGTTTGTATTTCGTTATCCCCTTTGACATATGACATTTTGCACACTTTTGTCGTCGCAAAGCTCTTTCGGATTGCCACAAAAAGAAAGAAATTTTAGCAGAATTTCTGATCGGGTATAGCCTGTGTGTCCAGTGCACCACTTACGTGCCGGGTATGCTGTACCTTATCACAATTTTCACACTCAAAGCGCTTGCCGCTGTCGTGCGACATCTGGTGACGAATGAGGTTGGACTTCCAGTTGAAAGCTTTGGGACACTGGTCACACTTGTACTCCCGCTCTTCCGTGTGAACTATCATGTGCTGGCCCAAACTTCACGTGGACAGAACAAGCAAAATGAACCGAATTGCACCATTTCCACACTCGATGCGAATCTACTGGCGGCGGTGGCGCGGTTTTGTTCACCTGTACTCATTCGGGAAGATCTTCTCACAGTCTTTGCACTCGTGGACGGGCTCGTCGCTGTCCTCCCGCTCCTGTTTGAAGTCTTCTCGGAGGCTGTCGAAGATGGAGCCTGCGCTGGAACAGGAATATTTCTGGTGTCGCCGCAACTCCAGCGTCGATGAGAACAGTTCGTCACAGTCTTCACAGCGGTACATTTGCTCATCTGCACGCACGAAACACCAAAGACACCGCTGCCAAATCACTACAATCGCCCTCGCGATCAAATAAAGCTGAAACTTGATCAGTCGTACGACTTGGCTTTTATTTTATTTTTTTCAAAATGGACTTGACTCTGAATTACAGCAAAGCGCATTTATTCAGCGATCTTAAGAGCATTGTATCTCTGCCCAAAATGACTGATGTGTTTAGATAGAATTTCATATGCCTGCGTTGAGACACGGGTTTGAATAACTGTGATCTTAATTTTATCTGGGCATCAAATATCTTTCTGCGTATAATTTGTATCCAATAATCAATCTTTATATTCATTAGCATCAATTGCCCCTCTCTCGCTGAGTTACAGCTAAATCGACTCTCATTTAAGTGGTGAAACCAACAACCCCCGCCATTGACAATTGCATCAAATGGAAATCAATTAGCCATGAAACACAGCCTTCATTAACGCGGTTAATTGCTCGGGAGGGGAAAGCGTCGTGGGGACTGCATGTGTGTAGACGGGAAACAATAGGGACCGGTCAGCTCCTTCCATGTTGATAACCTTTCCACTACTTCTCGCCAACGAGGTCAAACGCATAAAAAGTCAGGCTAGCCTTTTCAATAGCGAGTTCCTGAGCCCGAGTCCAAGTTCAACAGCTCAGTGGGAGGGTGGTGGGAGGGGGAGGGGGGG